TAGATAAAAGCAAAAGTCTCCAATAAAAATAGGAACATTTTTGGTCCCCAAGTTTCAGGAACATATAAACCCAATTAGATTAAAATTGTACTTTTAGTGCTTTAATTCCCCTGGGTGGTCAGTTGCTGCTATTCTTAGAGGGTGGAATAGAAATTCCCTTCCCTCTCTCCTCACAGGGGGAAAGATACTTCATGCAGCTTTTACAGGAAAATAAAGTACTTAGGGTAAAGAGAAGTTCGGATCTCACCCAATTTCATCCGTGTTGCTTTTGAAGTGCTTGGTGGTAAGTTTGACTTCGGTTGTCTGCAGCCTAGTGATGGGCCATATTACTATGGCCGGTCTTTCCTCCGCCAGTTTGGAGGGCTGCCCCAGATCAAGCGGAAGGGCTGCCGCCTTCCTGCGATCAAGTGGGGGTCCCCTCCTTGCTCGTCACCCCTATAGGGTGACTTTCAACTCTTTCCAGGGTCCCTCAGTGGAGCAAAACCGAATGCGGAAGACAGAGCTTGCCTTCCAGCGGCTGCGATGGCAAATCTAAAAAAATTAATTATTATGAATATGTTTGATTTATTGAATAACCCAGCTAATATAGATAATGGTTTTGATTTATCAAAGGGAATATTGTATTATTAAGTAGATGATTTAATATGGTGGGAAATAGATAACTTTTAGGAAATTGAACAAGATTATATTTAAATAGATAAAATGTGTATTTTGGATATTGGATGCTGTTATGAATTGAGATAAAGGAAATCTTGGTTACCTAAATCCTGAAAATTATAAATATCAAAGGTTAAATTGGAATATTGATGGGAAACTAAAAATTGGGGAAAAAAATAATAACAGGATACGGATTGTTTATGAAGATTGAATGTAAAAAATAATTAAGATATGTATAAGCAAAAATTTATTGATAAATGTAATAATGATGTTTTTACTGAGTTGATATAATAAGAACTGTATTAGCTTAAATACGAGACAGTAAATGTTAAGGAGAAAAGAGAGGAAATATTTGAGGTTGTAACTTGAGATTTGTACTAAAGATTTTATTATCGAACTATTGATTCACCCAGACACCACGTTGCTTTTTAAATACTTAAATGTAAAATTGGAAAATTAATCAAATATTATAAAAAGAAAAAAATGTTGGTCAATATAACTTGAAAATAACAAGGAAATTGGAATAAACAATTGCAAGATGGTAATGTTGCAAATGGCAAAATATTAGATCAAAGAGTAGAACATTTTTACAGAATATTTACTGAAGACAAATAATGGAAATATTTCAAGACATGTAAATGCTGGTAGAGATATATAGACAGTTTGTGGCTTGCTGTGAGAAATGAATGCTTATCAGAAAAAGCTAACCTGCTGTCTGATAAGAATGCAGCTCTACTTCATTATTTGTAAGCAAGTCAGGTATTTCAGAAGAGGCATAAAACTAAAATGAATGCAGTGGGATTGGATATTGAATTGATGTTGAATGAATGCAGACTGAATGATTGAGCAATCCCAAAAACTTCTGAAGTAATTTGGTCATAAAGAGATTGAATGAGGATTGAATCACCAAAATACATGAAGGAAGGAGGAAGGGAAGACTGAGAAAATCATGTGTGGATGAGTTGATCAGATCCTTAAAAAGAGAGAACTTGAGAGTGGCAATATATAAATGGATATTTGGACTAGTGGAAACAAGAGTAGTTTGCAGGGATAGAAATGTAGTGTTTTGCCAAGTGCCAGGGCAATGATCAGATACCCAGGCAATTGGTACTTTTGGATCTAGAAACAAAAAGCATAAGAAGTTTTCAAGCTTTATTATTTAACTGTAGCAGGCATATTAAACAGAAACACAAGAACGCATAAAATACCAAACAAGATTTTCTCACTGGGAGCTCCTTTTCAAGCAGCAGAGAGACCCCATTTGGGCCTGGATACACAGCACTGAGCATTCAAGCCTATGCAGAGTCTCAAACTTCATGGACAGTTTCAAGGCTAGACCTGGCTTGAAAATAGCAACTGTAAGAGGGATCTTGGAGTCCTAGTGGACGATCACTTGACTATGAACCAGCAATGTGCAGCAGCAGCCAAAAAAGTTAATACAATCCTGGATTGTATAAACAGGCATAGAATCAAAATCATGCGAAGTATTAGTACCACTTTATAAAATCCTAGTAAGACCACACCTGGAACACTACAACCAATTTTGGCCACCATATTACAAAAAGATGTTGAGAGTTTGGAAAAAATTCAGAGAAAAGCAACTAAGATGATCAAAGGCCTGGAGACTAAAACAAACGAAGAATGGCTGCAGGATTTGGGTTTGGCTACTCTAAAGAAAAGAAGAAATAGTATTCCAGTATTTGAAAGGCTGCCACAAAGAAGAGGGGGTCACATTATTCTCCAAAGCACCAGAGGGCAGGACAAGAAAGAATGGTTGGAAAGCAACCTGGAATTAAGAAAAAACTTCCTGACAGTGAGGACAATTAACCAGTGGAACAGCTTGCCTTCAGAAATCGTGGGTGCTCCATCACTGGAGTTTTTTAAGAAGAGGCTAGACAGTCACTTGTCTGAGATGGTATAGGTTTTCCTGCTTGAGCAGGGGGCTGGACTAGAAGACCTGTAAAGTCTCTTCCAGCTCCTATTCTATTCTATTCTATTCTATTCTATTCTATTCTATTCTATTCTATTCTATTCTATTCTATTCTATTCTATTCTATTCTAGGGTTTTTATTAAAACCTGGCACTAAGACTTTGTGGCCTGCTTCCATAGTCACAAAGCTGCAAGGCAAGACCCTTGTAGAATTTTCTTAATGAAGGAAAAAACAAAATATTTCACCAGACTCATCAAAATAGAATGGTCTTCCGCATTGCCACTACATATATAGAGAAATACAATTTGCCTTCGACTTACAGCAGTTCATTTAGTGACCATTTGAAGTCACAACGGCACTAAAAAAACAAACTTATGACTGTTTTTGACATTTACAACCCTTGCAGTATCCCCATGGTCAGGTGCTTGGCAACTGATGCATATTTATGACAATTGCAGTATCCTAGGGTCACATGATCACCATTTATGACTTTCTGACAAGCAGAGTCATGTTACTAACTTAACCGTGTTACTAACTTAACAACTGTGGCAAGAAAGATAGTAAAATGGGGCAAAACTCCATTTAAGTAGATGTAGTAATTTCTGTTGCTAAGCAAGACAGCTGTTATTTACTTAATGTAAGTAACAACTGCTTGCTTAGCAGCAGAAATCTTGGGTTCAATTGTGGTTGTAAGTTGAGGATTATCTGTATATTAAATATAAGGAATAGGGTTGATGTCAAGTAGAGTTAGTCAAATGTCTCTCTGTGTTTATCATATTCCTTAGGACTTTTATTATTTAATTTTGTTTGTGTGTTGGATATATATGTATGCACAGTTACATAGTTTGGGAGAGTTTCTAGATCTAAATTCTTTTCTTGTTGCCCAGATTGAGACAGTTATAACATTCAATTCTTTTTTTTTTTTTTTAAAGAACTTGATTAAAATATTAAGCATGTATTGGTAAATTCCAAGTCTGTCTATTGTGATCTACATGGGGTGTGTTTTATATTAATACAGAATTCAGCAGCCAGATTCATCTACAGAAGCAGCTCAGTTAATCTAAATTATACCAATTACATAGCTGGTACTACATACCTTGGTAATTTTTTTATATGAGATACAAAGTTTCCATTATTACCTTGAAAGCTTGAGTAACTTGAGTCCATAAGTTGAAACAATACTTTCTTTTATATGAAATCCCCTACTCAGGGTCATCTAAGGAATCCATCTACTGTTTCTGTGGGTGTTTCTTTTGATCACTTGCAAGCGAGCTTTCTTTGTAGCTACCTCATGCCCAGAAAATAGAATGTTTCCTAAAGTTTCATATCTCTAAACACAGCAGCTTTAAAAAGCTCTTAAAAGCACATTTTTTGAAAGATTTTTCATTGTGTGTTTTTCTGATGTCCCTTTGTTGCATTGTTTTTTTGTTTGTATTTATAAATACACTGAGGAGCAGAGGGTAGGCTGCAGATTGGTCGTGCTGGGTCATGTGACCAGGAGCACGTACGATAAAGTAGTTGGTTGCCAGATTGCTTCTACCCTTGGATGGCATTGAGATTTTTTTTTCTGTGTATCTCCTATCCAGATCTGGACCATTTTCAAACTCAGTATTTTTTTTGTCAGTTTGTTCTGCTCCACCAAATTTGATTTTGGACAAATATCCTGCTGATAGGTAGAGAAGGTCCCTACATTTAATATATTTCCAAAATTCTTATGGGAATCAAAATGGAATTACTGCCTTTACAATGGCCTGATCTAAATCTACAGAAAGGTTTTTCATTTGTATTTTATTTTGTATATTGTTGCTGAAATGTTAAAATTATTTATTATAATATGTTTCGTTTAGCACATTTTATGTAGTTTAATAATATGTTCCATTAAACCTTTTCTTTGAAGCTTCTTTTAAATTAAAAGCAGGATAAAAACAAATAAATAAATAAAACATCTAACACTGGGAATAAAAATATGTTTTAGCAGCCAGTTAATAATTAATTATGCTGGAAACATATAAAGTACAAATTATGAAATGTAGTGAGTACAAAGTACAAATTACAATGTAGTGAGCCCCTTGCATGTTTATTCAGAGGAAAATTCCCATGATTAATGGAATTTACAACCAGGTAAGGGTAGATGAAGTTAAAGCATTAAATGATATAAAAACCTTTATGATAGTCACCTACATATTTATTAAACTATTTTTAAATATATTTATCTGGTTAATGAATTACATATTGCTCATGTATAGAACAATAGATATATTATGGCTATATCTGAAGGAGACCAAGTTCAGTTACGGTAATTGTAAATATTTCTTGATTATGCACGGAATGATCAAGAATATCTACACTGTGGTAAATTCTACTTTCTTTTGTTAACTAACTCTTTTCTGTTTTTTTGTTTTTGTTCCAAAGCTCAAGAATGCTCAGAGTGTCGTATGGTGCTCTCGAATCCCACAGGAATTTTTACCTCTCCTTGCTTCCCCAATAATTATCCCAACAATCAAGCATGCAAATGGACCATCAGGGCTCCTTCTGGATACATCATCCAGATAATATTTGTTGATTTTGATATTGAAGAAGCTTCTGGTTGCACATATGATCATGTAACTTTGGACACTGGAGACAAAAGAGATTCCTATTGTGGTATGACTGCCAAAGGTTTATCATTTAACTCATCTAGGAATGAAATGATTATATCTTTTACAAGTGACTTTAGCATTCAGAGAAAAGGCTTCAATGCCACTTATACCCGAAGTAAGTATGCGCTTCTTGCTGTTTCCAATCTATAGAATATACTTCTGAGGTTGTGATTTGATAATATCTATTTGATATAAAAGTAAAAGTAAAATATTATTATTTAGCTAGGTTAGGTAAGGTATCTATACCACTGACTTAAATTAATTGGAGTTCTCTTAAAGAAATTGTGTTACATAAAGAGTTATGGATCTCCTCTGTGTCATGAAGTCAATAAGAGGCTCTCAAGTTTGCCATTCTCTTTATTTCCCTATACTTCAGGCTTTCTGCATCTGTGATGTGGAAAATAATATAGATCTAGGTTATAGGGTTACTGTATTGCAAGATAGGGCACCATATGAGCTGCAAAACTCTAGATGAGGAGCAGATGGCAGCAAGACAAACCAAATATCTAATTCTTGATTGCCCTCTAGTGGTTGTCTAAATCCTGTACATCAAGCGCCCCCAACCTTTTCGGCACCAGGGACCAGTTCCATGGAGGGAGGTTTTTCCGCAGACTGGAGGAGGTGTGGTTTCGTGTGCTGCCTGCATTTCAGGGATGGGGCTTTGCTTGTTTGTGCAGCCTAGTTTCTGGCATGCTGCAGCCCAGTGCCGATTGAGGACCCCTACTGTACAGTACAGGTAGTCCTCACCTTACCATTTGTTTAGTGACCGTTTCAAGTTACAATGGCACTGGAAAAAATTGGCTTAGAACTGATTCCCACACGACCGTCACAGCATGTGATCAAAATTTGGGCACTTGGCAATTGGTATGCATTTACAATGGTTGTAGTGTCCCAGGTTCATGTAATCACCATTTGCCCTTCACAGTCAGTTTCCTACAAGGGATTAATAGACAAGGCAGGATTTGCTTAACCACCATGTAATTCATTGAACAACTGCAATTATTTGTTTAACAATTGTTGCAAAAAAGGTCATAAAATCAGCTGTGACTCACTTAATTGCCTTACTTAGCAATGGAAATTCTGATCCCAGTTGTGATTATAAGCCAAAGTCTACTTGTATATATATGCACTATAAGATTATGGTATGTGCTGAATAAGTAAATAGGAATGCATTGGATTTCCTTACGCATTTTAATTGCACATCAAAACCTTTCAAGAGTGAGTAAGATCATATAGATGTTTTTCTTTAAATGCCTGAAGGAAATAAGTCATTAGGATTAATGAAATAAGACTGCATATCACTATTTCCTTAATGAAATAAAACTTCCATTTCATTAAATAAAAATTAAGCCCTAGTTATAATTAAATAGAAAACTACCACATAGCTACAAATTAGCCCCACTGATCTAATTTAAATTTGCTTTTGATTAGTCAGGCCTGTAGTCATCCAATCTTGTTCTCACAATGTGATATAAAAACTCTATTATTGGTTGCTTTTTTAATAGACTTTTCCAACTTTTCAAGGAAAATTTTAAAAAGGAAGGAAAAAAGGTATCCCTGTTCAGTTGCACATTGATATTAGTTACTTTTTAATATATGTTTGCCATTTAGAACAGTTAGAACAATTAATCAGTGGAACAACCTGCCTCCAGAAGCTGTGAATGCTCCACAGCATTGGAAGTTTTTAAGAAGAGATTGGACAGCCATTTGTCTGAAATGGTCTAGGGTTTCCTGCCTGAGCAGGAGGTTGGACTAGATGACTTTCAAGGTCTCTTCCAACATTATTATTGTTATTATTGTTGTTGTTTTGTTGTTGTTGTTTTGCTGTGAATAATAATTTATATATAAATAGTATGTACTTAATGGTACATAATAAAAAATGTTATAGATACTGCTTAAAAAGGAATACCAATAGTACGAATTCCTAAAAAAAATTAAACATTTTTACATCAGGAGAGAAATGTGTTGCTAATTCTGACAGTATGTTTCTTTTGAAATAACTGACAGAATGCTTGTCCTATCTCTCTTGAGCTACTACTAAAATTATTATTTGCATCAGGTTACCATTGTTACATAACTGGATTTGTAAGGATTTTTTTTTTCAGTTTTTCTTTTCTAGACTTTCTAAGGGATCAGTATTCACTTCTTTTGGTTTGCTTGTTTTGACAAACAAACAGATTTCCAAAAGGTATTAACAGGCAAGAAGTAGTTTGAGTTTCTTGTTACTAAGGTAAATCAGACTCAGAACAAGTTGATTTACATGATACCTAAGTCAGAATCTCTCTCTCTTTTATCAGAAAAAGTGTAACAACAATACACAGTTAAGTGCCCTTTCATGACTCCCCCTACCCAGTCACTTTCCTCTGCTTGATGATGTGTATTATTTGTGGAGGAAGAAGGATATTTATGCCACTATATTTCCTATAATTAATATACATTCCTATAATTAATCTGTTAATATTTGTAACTAATACAATGTATATCAAATGGGATCAATCACAAATGGCTTCAGAATCATGTTTAGCAAGATAGATAGAAATATGAATAGGCTTTTTAAGGGTTAATTATTGATCAGTATTATGGCTACTGTCTTATGTATGCTTACTGCAAAGTAAAGTTCAGTTAAAATACTCAGATTCATTTCTAAGTATAGATGCAGGGAATATGGCAGCCAGATGTGACTGCTGGTATATTTAATAAGTTGTTTTGCAATGAAATGTGAATAGATTTATTCAACTGAAATTCAAAAGTTTGTAAACAAAGAGCTTTTATTTGTGAAATAACATGGCAGGTTACTTTCTGCACAGTCTGAAAAAGATATCTGGTATTCATTTCTTCAGTTTAATGTAGCTGTATAAAATAACCTATTGGGAGCAGCGCATAAAGAAATGAAAGGGCTATTTCAGGTTACTGGTTTACTGCTTTGTCTAGTACAACAGGTAAGGTATCCAAAACATTTTTTGCAAGTAACTTATTTACATTTTGTAGGAATCAAATGGTCATACTGTAAGTTAATTGACTACAATAATATCCCTGCATATATTTCTGACTCATGAGTTTAATTATACATAGGTAAAAAGTATTATATTACTTTTAATAAAATTTGATGGTAGTTGATTCTGAAAACAGTTTCTTTTTATGTTCCAGTTGCTGTATCTTTGAAGAATCAAAAGGTTGCCATTCCGCAATTTCTAGATTCTGATTCTGTGTCTCTGGCAAATTCTATTCAAGTCCCAGAACTTAATCAGTTCACCCTATGCTTTGAAGCAAGAGCAAACAACAGTAATAACTATGAATGGAAGGCTTTCTCCTATGGTGATTCCTCTGTGGAATTCTTCAGCTTTGGAAAAACAAAACAGGGGTATTTCATTTTTATCTCAGACTCAAAGTGTTTTTTAAATGATGCCCTTGACATAGGTCCAAATGAGGACATTTTCATAGAAACATTTGAAGAGCTTTGCATTGTATGGGATAGCTCATTAGGCATAGTAGGTGTAAATGTCCAAGAGACGTATAAAACAGTCTCTTGTTTAGATACTTATGGAAAAGTAATTCCTGGTAATGGAAAGTTGGTTCTGAGTTCTGACAAAGAAGACATAAGCCCTCTACCTGGAGATATGTACAACTTCCGGCTTTGGAATTTTACAATGAATTCCCAATCACTTTTCAACCTCACCTGTGATGAGAAAGGTAACATTATTGATTGGGAAAATGATTTCTGGAGCATTCCAGCAACATTTCTAAAAGCGGAGAACAACTTGAGTTGTGGTGAGTTTCTTTTTTAAATTTGGCATAGCTGTTAAGATTATTTAGGTCAGAAAGAAAATTTGTTTATAGTGAATTTGAATTAACATCCCCATATTTCTTGAACTTGTTTTACTATAAGATTCATGTGCCACAGTAAATATATTATTTATTTATTCAATCTATATCCCATTGTTTTGTTCAGGAGCTTAAGGTGTTACACAAAATATTCCTTTCTTTTATTTTTCCCCACAATAACAACTTGATCAAGTAGCTAGACCGAGAAACAGTGATTGACTGAAAGTCACTCAGTGAGTTTCCATGGCTGATCCTTAAAATCGGTATCTCTCCAGAACCAGTTCAACCAGTACAGCACAAACTGATTTCAAGAGTTTTTATTAATAGATTTTATAATGATGCAATTTTAACAATTGTCAAATTGTTACATTTTGTTTATTGAATTATATTACTATCAGTGACAAAAACTACAGCATTAAGTATTACATTATGCTTCTCTTTACACTCATGACCTTAACTAAATCTATTCATTTATTTGTATACTACTCATTCAAAAATAAGTTATGAAAATAGAAACAAAGTTTATCAACAAGTCTTCATTTTTCTAGCCAGTCTTGCTAGTAGTCAAACTATACATCTTATGAAAAAGTCCACAGAAAAAAGAATAAAATCATCATTTCCCCAACTTATTTTATAAAATACTATATATCTTTTAAACAGTTTTCTTCCAGCTTTGCTTAGAGCAGTGGTTCTCAACCTTTCTAATGCCGCGACCCCATAATACAGTTCCCCATGTTGTGGTGACCCCCAACCACTTATACATCACCGGGTGCCAGGGGCATGGCCAAAGAAAAGGGGGGGAAAAATGGCGGACAGCCTTGTTTGGCGACCCCCGTGAAATGACCGACCCCAAATGGGGTCCCGACCCACAGATTGAGAACCACTGGCTTAGAGACTAGCATAGAGCTATGCAGAGTAAAGTCTAGAATGCAGAAATATGGTATTTTCAGACTGAAAATAAAGTTGCTCCAGACCTATTTTGATTATCACTATACCTACTCCAATCCGAAGCTAGATAAAAAGGTTAAACCTTGACCTTTTATATTTGAAGGATCCTAAAAAATCTCTATATGCAAAAATATTCTTCTATATTCATTTTAAGCTTGGAGCTTATTACATTGGAGTCTTTAGAGGGCAGAGGGGCACTTGCCATTAGAGGAATGTTTCACCGTTTGAGGAATGCTTTTGAAAATGGCATTTTGCAGAGGCGTATCAAAAGAGGCAAGATGGCAGGCCCAGCAGTGTAAGCACTGACCTTTCCTTTTGAACGTGCTTGCAGCATACATGGGAAAGGGACAGAAGTTTAGTTGCTTTGATCCACCTGCCATTTTGCCTCTAGCAACCTGTAATTGCCATGAACAAATAGCAAAATAATAGTTAACAATTTTAAGGAAATAAATGTCTTTGTATTATATATTTGATCCTTAATCTACCTTATACGATTATTGTGTTTGTAAAATTGGAGGGATTCTGACAGTAGGATAGCGTATACATGCACCAATTGAAGATCAAGATGAAGTTGATGATACTTTTATAACAAAATGAACATTTTATTTCTTTCTTGAAATTCTCTTGTAAGGGAAACTAATTAGATCAGTTCTTGTTCCCATCTACTTAATTTTTGTACATCCTTGATTTTTATTAAGGGGTATATGCTGATCACATATCAATAGTTATCATTAGGTTCAAACTGTGATTCAGTGATTTGAACAATACTCCAGTTAATCACATATTTGTTTCAAAAGTTACATAACTCAAGTATCACATAAATCAACATTACAGTTCCAGAATGCTTATGTTTGTGCCTTTCCTCTGATTGTCACAGGCAATCAAAAAAGATTGGAAGTTTTTTTAAAAAATCACAACAATCAGATAGAATAGCCCCCACTAAGAGGATTAAGTACAGTCTTCTTCAAATTGAGCTTTGTTCCTGGACTCAGTGAATAGGAGTGACCTGTCATCCAATTTCTAGCTTAGTTTTTCAAGATTAGTTCTGGTCAGCTAGACATTGCCACTCCATTGAGCCAAGGATATGGGCCATGTGCCAAAGTTTTAGATGGGGTAACTTTTCAATCAAGAAGTTTTCAAAAGTGGGGGTGCTTCTTCTTTTGCAGGTGAAAAGAAATGGGCTTTGTAAAGTTCCTTCACACATGATTAGGTTTGAATAAAAAGGAATTTGCTTTCTCCTTCAGCTATTTTAGTGAGTAATTTGTATCTTTATGCTGTAGAGATGTCCCTAAGCAGGGAATCTTTAAAAATTTCAAAAAGGCAAGGAAATTATAAGGAGTACATATAACTTTAAAGTTTTATTTCTTTAGATTTCTACTTTTCACAGAACTCACTCACAGAAGCCTTCATGGCTCATGGTTCATAGCAGGTGATAGAGTCTTCTGAGATTAACCATTTTATTTAAGGCATAACATTTTGTGGGTTGCAGTTAATTTCATCAGGTGCATGAAGCAGCTTGGCTTATGGCTGATGAGGCAGAAGGGAAAAGGGACTGGGAAGATAGGTATAAGGTTATAGGGATGGGGTTCTTTGGGAGACAACATTACAGATACTACTGACATGGCCCACCTCCTACAATATACTGTATAGACAATATAATGCATTTATAATGCATTTAAAGGAGCCTTTAGCCTGTATGGTATGATTTTGAAAGCAGTTTGTTGCAAGAAAGTGATAGCATAAGCTTCTGCTAACATAAAATGATGTACTTCACAAACATCTGCATAACAGTGATGTTACCTAGTTTGGGGTAATGAAACACCTTCAAGAAAACAGCCAAGTTCAGAGAGCACCAAGGACCCTTATTTCAACCCTGAGCTACAAATACTCTCCTTTATAAGAATGTTTTTCATTTATAAAAAGGGGATTTTGTTTTTTGACCTAGAACCTTTTTATGCCCATCATCATAACCATTCTTGTTTACATGAAGGGAAAGAACAATTACAATTTCATTTATATATGCAGATAGCATTACAAAGTAGGTATGGTTTTCTTTAAAGCAAAAAAAATCCTCAATTTCTAATTATATCTTCAGAAAGGGAGCCATTATTCTGAGGTACCTCCAAGACCACCTCCATAAATTGTGCCATCTGTGGTGAAAGAAATGTTCCCCTCTCTGCTGCCACAACTCATTTCATGCACAGTCTAGCAGCTGAATCTTATTTAACATTGGCATTGGAATAGTGTTCTGTCACAATTGGCTTATAGAACATAGGCTGTGTGTCTAATTTCATGAAGAGCTTCTATCCTTTTGTCTTTTGTCTTTTGTGAAAAATGAACTATTAACATATTTGTCTTCCTTAAATGAGGCAACATGCTATTTCATTTGCCTGAATCATAAATATGAGAATAAGCTAGCAAATGTTTGTGTTTACACTCATAAACACAAGTGTAAGCTAACCCTTTAACCTTTACTGAGTTACCAAAAGAACCCGTAGTATCTACTGTTATGTTCAGCACATTTGTTTTATTCAGTGATCTGTTAACACTTTTTGTCTTTACTTTGTATTTAGTAAAGCAGTTTCTTTAGCTATCTCATTGAGTTTCTCATTAAAAGATAAGTCTTGTTTACAGTGTTTCCTTTTTTTTTAAAGGCTCATATCTTGTCCCCTTGCCGACAGTTGAACCAACTAGCTGTGCCACTATAGGAAGCCTTTGTCGAGGTAAGAAACCAACACTAGTTTGTTGAGTCAGAATTTATTGCTACCTTTTCTTTATAGGCTTTAAGACAGGGCTTTTCAACCAGTGGTATGGGTACCATCTGTGGTACATTGGCACCTGGCAGGTGGTATGCGGCCATCCTAGAAAAGTGGTAGCAGGGGAGGGGAATGAGCTGAACTGGTGGCAGCACCGCACAAGCCTGAGCGAAAGATGGCTGGAGCTGCAGGGCTGTCAGGGCTCAGCGCCAGGCTCCAGATGGAGCTCGGCACTGATCCTGGCGCTTCTGCTGAGCCCAGAAGAAGCGCCAATCAGCTGGAATGTTGCAGTATCTCCAAGGTCTTGTGATTTACATTCAGATGCTTGGCAACTGATTCATATTTATGATGGTCACAGTGTCCCAGGGTCTTGTGAAGTGATGGCGCCCACGTCTTGGAACCAGCTCCCCCCGGAGATTAGGACTGCTCCCACCCTGTTGGTTTTCCGTAAGCTGCTTAAGACCTGGCTTTTCCGGCAGGCCTGGGGTTTATAAAAGCTGACTCCTGGATGACTGTAACTGTATTGTTTTGTTGTCATGTTTTATGTTGTTTTTATTGTTAGCCGCCCAGAGTCCTACGGGAGTGGGGCGGTTTATAAATTTTAAAAATAAAATAAATTAAAAAAATAAATAAGTGACCAAAACCTGCTGCAGCCATCCAGCAGACAGGGGAAATAAAAACCAAACACCCCCCCTACCCCACCCCCACTGCCAATCATCAACAGAAATGCTCACAACAATGAAAACCTCAGACAGGAGGAAGAACGCAGCCGGGTGTCTTGCTCGGCTGTGGCTTGGGGGGCACTTTTTTCAGTGCCATTGTAACTTTGAACACTCACTAAGCAAACTGTTGTAATTGAGGACTACCTGTACTTCATGACTTTTTTCCTTTTTTTTGTCATCAAGTTTTTGACACCTTGCTAGGCAACTGGTGGTACTCGGATGTTGCCATATCCTAAAAGTGGTACAATGGGTGAAAAGGTTGAAAAGCCCTGCTTTAAGATTTAAACGATCAGTATATTATCTATCTATCTATCTATCTATCTATCTATCTATCTATCTATCTATCTATCTATCTATCTATCTATCTATCTAATATGTATATGATAACAAATCAAATATGGAAGGAAAAGAAAAATAATTTATGTTTTCTATTACATATTTTAAATTTTGTAGATAATCAACACCTCCAGTATAAAAGGTTCTAGCCTGTTTTTTTTCCTTCATTCAGTTTGTTGCTATAGTATATTTCAGAAGTGTACTGTTTATTTTGACACAACAAGGGTATGAACAAACTAATGGATCGCAGCATTCTCCTTAAGGGTTATACAGTTTCTTCTTCTCCAGCTACAGCGATCTAACAAAGTATTCCAGAAAAGAGGGGATACGTTCACTGCAGTATGACTTGTGGTAATTTATCTTAGTTCTTGATTCATGTTTTATTCTGTATAATATAGAAATTATACATAGACTTTTTGTGGGAGGATTTTATTTTTTGAGAAGAAAGGAGAAAACCCATATTGTTCCTCTATAGACCAAGCAGTTAGGAAAGCTATTATTATTATTATTATTATTATTATTATTATTATTATTATTATTATTATTATTATTATTATTATTTTGGGGGGTTATTTCTTATATTATACAGCTCATAAAAATCAAACTTAGACATTAGAAATATATCAAAGTCTTATCTTGTTTCTTTTTCTCTACTTCTACTACTTTTTCTTTCTGCACTTTTAGTTTTTTCTTTATTTCTCATTTTCTCTCTATCTTTTTATGAATTTTCTTAATACTTTGGTTTATATTAGTTCTTAATATTGTTGTTAAACCTTTCAATAAAAATTATATATTAAAGAAAGAGGGTGTCACAACTGTTAGTTGAACATCTGTGGGACAGATTTGAATTACCCATGAGATTTTTACCCATTTATCTTTACTATTGATTGCACATCACTGCATATCTCCTTTAATATTTAGTAGTGAAAGGATAATAGATCATGAGGATTTCATTAATTTTCTGATTCATAATGACATGAGATTTGTAAGACAAGTCACATAGCTATAACACCATGTTTATACAAATTGAATGCCTTAGTAGGCATTCACAAAACAGTTATTAGATTTAATACCAATGTGTGTCTATGTGTATGTGAGAGAGATTAAATAATGTACTAAATTATTTCAATTAGAGGAATGGTTTGAGTTATATTATCTGTGAAATTACTAGTGAAGAATTTTAGTCTGAATGTTTGGAATTTTGGAGCCTCTGGCATAGACATACTTACATTTCCACTCACATTTTTGTTTTTTGTTTTTTACTTAATCACGAAGGCTTTACTACACTGCAAAGTGGGTGAAGAAAATGCTGACAGGGTGCTGCTACAGTATGTGCAGCTGGGTCGGGTATGGAATAGTCAGGTAACAATTGCAAGACTGAAGTTCAGTTTTTATTAGTCGGGTAGCTATGTCCTGCTACACTTGTGTTTTGTTGAACAGTCCTGTCTCTGTGTGATGAGAGTCTGAAGTCTCTTGAAGATTAACGACTTTCTGTCGTCCTAATCTAGCACTGAAAAAATCTAATGATGAGACTTGGGAAGTAGAAAGCAATTGTGAGCATGAATTTGTGAAAGAGATGGATGAAGTATACCCAATAATTTTGTAATTCATAAAGCAATAGAATAACAGAGTTATAAGGTGAGCTTCTGTTCTCACTTCAGCTCCTACAAACCTAGCAATTCCAAAGCATGTAAATGCAAGTAGATAAGTATGTACCACTTCAGTGGGCAGGTAACAGTGTTCCATGCACCTCAGCATATAGTCATCCTGGCCATATGGCCATGGAAACATCTTCAGACAGCACTGACTCCCTGAGCAAGGTAACAGAGATGAGCACTGCTCCCTAGAGTTGGACATGACTGTACAGGAGAAATCTTTTCCAATAGGAAGGATAGAATATCCTTGGAGCAATTATCATGTTTTGTGAGACTGTAAGGTGGAATAATATTTAATAAGAAAGAAAAGCAGAGCAGAAGGTAATTTATTCTGTTATAAATCATTTTGCAAAACATTTTCTATACGTGGAAAAATAATCAAACTTCATCATTACATTTCTAACAGTCTTTAGACAATGAACCTCCAATTTAGCAATTCATTTAGTTTAGCAATTGGACAGAATATTAACTGGTCTCAAGTTCTTCTTCTTTCAGTTGTTCCATTGAAATAAGGCTGTTTCATTTTGAGCTTGAAAAATAATGGTTTATGTGTTGTATTTCACCAATAATTTATAAATAGGGCTGAGTAAATCCTTTGAGCTTCTTGTTATGAGTTGTTTCGAATTCAGTTCAGTCTATAAATATTATCTCTTATTCTGAAGTTCTTTTAATTCTATGCTACATAGTTGAAGATACTGAAACATCAGTGATTCTGATCATTCTATAGAGAAAGTCTCAAAAATGTTATCTTTGACTCATTAATAATCAAAAATTTTAGTCATCTCTCAAATGACTTTTCAAGTATTTCAACATGGGAAGTATTTAAAGTCCAAATTTTGTGCTGTTTCTTCTCCCTTTTCCCAGAAGAAAAATTATTATTATAGGCTTACAGGTAGACATTTGTCTAACCAAGCTGAAAATAATTAGAGATTAGCTGCCATCTTCATTCCATAAGCTGTTAACTGAGTCACTCTGTAGTAGATTTATTTAAATTAAAAATGTATCTCTGCCAGTAGGTGAAATAGACTTTTTAAAAACATATTTTACTCTAAATGCGTTTGAATGAACACAGGTGAGAACATAGCTTAGTTACCATTACCTCCTTTCAGAAGTTATTTTAATGTCTTCAAATATGTCTAAAGAAATCATCCCAGACAAATTTCTTGCAGTTTGGTTAATAGATGTCATTCAGGATAGACTACAGTCCTATCTACTATCGCGACCCTACGTGAAAAGCAAGTATGCAACAACTGATTTGAAATTCCCATCATTTTCTCTAAAATTTGAAGTTTGATTCTATTTAAATAAGGGCTGTTTCATTCTGAGCTTGCAGGAAAAAATGTTTCGATTTCATGCAGTTCTGTAGTTCAGACTATGAATAGGAATAGTTACTAAACAAATATTGCAGCAGTTATGTTTTTGACTGAGCTGTTATTTAATGCATTTTTTTTCTCAAAAATATAGTCATACTAACTTATTTTTTTAATAGAATGTCTCCATCTGTTGATGTTCTTAAAAAATGAGCAGGAATCTGTTTTTGAATATTTTCAGTCATGAGTGGTACTCTTTACCAATACAAAAGACATCTGAAATTGAGGCAACTTGAAAAATAATCTTGTTGTGGTCATTTATGCGGGTATTAATCAGAAGCTGACACAATTGGCTGATAGATGCAAAGCAAATTTTATGCTATTCATAAAGGCTCCTTTTTGTCATTAAGAGAATATTATTTTGAATTTTCATACTCACAGGTGGATTACGCTGTATTTCATTTCAAACAAATAGTCTTGTTTAGCTGACAGGTTTGATATTAAATTTACAAGTCAGTGGCTCACTTGCAAACAATGTGTTCAGGATTGAAATATCTGCTTTATTAACTAATGAAAGATATTGTTTGTGTAGTATACTGTAGCAAAACTCTGAGAAAAAATTCATGTTACTTTCATTTTTTTAAAAAAAATTGCAACCATAGTAGGTTTTAGCAAAATTTCACATAAAATTACAATCCATATTAATTCAGTTCATCTCATTATAGCTAATAGCATTAATGGTCAGCATCTGCATTAGTATATTTGTTGCAGCCATTGCAAAGAAGCAAAGTAACACATTTGTCTACATTGGTCAGCAGGAAATAGTATACAGTAATGTTTGTAATTCATTGGTTCATGATTTGATTAAAAAATGTAAGAGAGGTTTTAAGCATGAATTCACCAATACACTATTGTTAAATTGTTTGTGGAGGCATTGTTTTGCCAAATGCTGTAGGTGAACAAATGAGACTTTTAAAAATATATATACCACACTGGAATTTGAAATGAGTATAACGCAAAAAATGTATATGTGTGATTTACGTTGTATGTGGATTCAGTCATTTAAAAGTCATTTCCTCTGTTTGTTTTTTCATGTTGCCTGACCTTATTAACATTCATATTCCATATAAGTTCAATTCTTTTTCATCTTTGTTACCAGCTACTGTAAGTGCAACCACTCCATCACCCACCATTACCACTAACATGCCTGATACTAACAGAACCGATAAAATAACGGATGGTAAGACATTTAATGTTATATTTTCTTTGATAGGTTACATCATTTTATCTTTTGAGCATACTTGCATTATATATGAATGTTAGATTTTGTTTCATCAAAACAAAAAGGCTTGTTTAAAGAGGCTTGTGTCAAATAACAATTTTGAATAAGCAAAATTTCCTGTGCGGAGGGAAGATTTTCTAGAAGATGTCATGTTTCTGTTTTGATTTTTTTATTATTAATCTTCAAATACTAAAGGTTTTACAAAAGCAATCTTCATGTAGTTCTCTATAGGAGTGGTTATCCAGAGTACCCTTGGGGCCAATGAAAAACAGAAAATTATTCACAAATTTCGATGAGGGTCATTAGTTGAAGTAACATCATTAAGAACAATCCAAATCCACTTGAAAGTGATTGCTACCTTTCTCCTAAAGATAAGCATGAAAAGTGACACTTCTCTTAGAATGTTGCAATATTCAAGAGTCCGTATATTTTAAGGAATATACAAAGAAGAAAGGACCAAGAGTGGACTCTTAGTTTGTCTACTCTTGCTTTAAAACATTGTCAGATTCTAGAGTTGAATATTTTCAATTGAAATTGAAATAAATGAAATAAAAATTAGATTCAAAATTATAAAGAAAGCAACAAACAGCTATATAGGTACAAGGGTGAGACGACCAAGAGAGCTACTTACAGCATAACTTGGGGTATGTATGGAGTAAGAATAAAAATATTTCACAGATAATAGATCATGTAATAGAATTTATGATAAGGAGCTCATTCAAAGAGAATTCTATGTCTTCATTCACAAACAGTAATAGTGCATAGAATAAAAGTTTGATAAGAACAGGACTGAACAAATTTCTGTCTCCTATGCACATTTTGAAAAATGTGGAAGCAGTTTTGTATAATGAACAGTTTAAGAATAAATTGCCTAAACTTCTTGTTTAATCTTTGCATATCAGAACTCAGTCTATATAATGCAGTTCCTGCTGAAATAAATGATTTCTTCATAATCAATCTCTGAGCTGTATTTAATTTCAAAGTAATTTCTTCAAGTAATTTACTTTATTTATTAATTGAATGACTTAATGTGTACAGTCCTGCAGGAAATGAAAAGTCCTGCTACAGTGGTCTTCAGAGTCAAGAGAAATGCAGCTGACTCTTCTCAACCTATTCAACATTGGCAAGAAGATTCTAAGATAAGAGGCATCAAAAACATAGGAATTATATCAACCCCAATAGTTTGGCCTATAAAACAGAGGCCTTTACACACCAGTAAATTTACAACAAATGAAAGAAAAAGTGCACCTAGTTACTTCATCACAATAACTCCTGAGGTGATACCATCTGCTTCTAGAGAAATGCAAATTAATAGCTTGGGCCCTTTCACAGAACAAGTAAATATAAATTATAATTCTTCCATCAAAGTGTCATACTTTAATAACGTTTCAGGACATTCTGAGAGCTTGTTAAATGAGAGTAGTATTTCACAGGAAACACCAACTCTCCCACTTGATCACATTAGGAATTTAGGATTCCATATTCAACAGAGTGGAAGTGTTGAGATAGAAGATTCTAGATCAAACTTATTGTTTCCTTCATTGGTGGACAAGAACACTTTTTTTGAACTTACAGAAGACCCTCAGTGGATGTTATCTCCTATCAGTTACACATTTTCTTCCGTGTATAAACATGCTAACAATTTCTTGCAGTCTTTGAGTACATGGAAGGAAAATGCAACTTATGAGTATTTTATTTCCAGAATTCCAAATGAAAACCTTTCTTCTCTTGTTCATAAATATTCTTATACATACCCTAAGGAATTAGTTAAAGAAACAATGCTTGGCTTACTAAACAAATCACTTGAAAGTGTCTACTTGCAGCCTACAAAGCGATTTCTACAAGAGGATTCTCTTAGGAATGGCTTTTACATTGTAGATGATTTACAGACTACAAAATTAAATCATGTAAGGGACTATAATTCAGTACATTTTAAAAAACAAATGTTTAAACACAGTGCAAATCCTTCTGGTTCATTACAAAACATGAAGGCCTGGTTTCCAGATGTTATGGCCAGAATCCATCCCACAGAAGTCTTCATGTCAGTGGAATATAGTAGAGAATTACATTTATCATCAGGTTTACCAAAAGCAAGAGGCAGAAATTCTGAAATTCAGCAAACTGTTTCGCCTTTATATCAAGAAACATACAATAGATCTTTTTTAAAAAGTGATTTTTTTGCATTTAATTCTCTCACTGAGCAATTAGATAATTTAGAAGTACAGGAAGGTTCATCTCTAGAAGATGAATTTGAGCTTCCGGATAAGTTCATTTCTTACAATAATGACGTATCTTCTTTTTCATTTCTATTGGAAGATGTCAAGTCAAAGTCAAAAGTGATTTCTGGAGTAGGATATGTAGAAAATAATATATCTAGCAGCCCACATAATGACATTTCTTTTCTCACAATTAATGATTCAAGTCTTCCAACACAATACATAAATACTTCATTTTGGACTATGGTTAATGATCGTCTAGAATCTACTGGAAGATATTCTTCCCTAATAGAGACAGTGTCTTTTTTCATGTCGCCTACACAAATAGATGATGATATCACCATGCAAACAGTTCCTTATAATAGACTAGTAGGCCATAATGTTTCAAAGTTATCTATTTTTACTAACATAACAGAAGAGAATTTTAGTTCAGTTTTTGCAGTGTACTCATCAGGGATTTCAGATGTTATTGAAAGAATAGCAACAAAATCAGACCCTCTTAACAAAAATGGATCAATAAATGATATTTCAGCTGTGCATGTCCCTTTAACTTCCCAGATAATAACTTTGATTCAGCCTTCCTTGCATTTACAGATAGGTACTTATGACATATTACAAGGAAGGTTTACTGATGATTTAAAAATTACTGCCAATTTAACCATGCAACAGACTATGGAGAAAATCCCAGATGATCAACTAATAACTTTTTTCCCATCTGCTGAAACATCAGCATCACCATTTTTTGAATTTTCCTGTGTAGAAGATACCTGCAAAGTTTTATTGCTAAGTCCAATACATTTTAAGGAACCAGCACATAATGTATATACAGACTTACAGATTAGTCAGCTTACAAGTGCTTCTGATTATATGAAAAGCACAGTGCATTCACATATAAATAATGCTTTTTTTGAAAAACAACATCCAAAGATACCTGATCTGTTCATAAGGACATTGCCTTTAGAAATACTGCCTACTAATAGTCATGGAACAATTGCACAATTTGGCAAACATGCAGCAACTTCAATGATTTCAGATGCTTCAACTTCACAGGATCCTCTAAATAACCTTGATCAATATTTTCTTGATTCAGAATATTTGTGGAATGAAAAGCTAGTTCAGGAAACAAGCACCATGGATGAAACATACCTTTTTCAAAATGAACATAATGATCCAAATAATTTAGAAAGCAAAGACATTCTACTTCTTCAACCTGGTCATGCAGAAGAGTTTGGTGATATGGCTCACAAAAGTATTGATACGAAAATTAAAGTTACTGTTTCAACACAAGAATCGGTTGTTTGGAAAGTGCATCATGGTTCTAGCAAGTCTATTGATGATCCCATTAAGAAAGGATTGTCTTCTTTAAATTCAAATAATGTTAGCGTGACTGATTTTTATGACCAGATAATTCCTTCATCTTTTGAAGACTTGAAATATGAAAAAATAGTAAACTATTCTTCCCTTTTGGAGCAACCCACAATTTCAGTAGTTACTGAGGTTCAGTCTTTTTTGTTGAATGAATCTACTAAGTATTTTGATGAAAACGTATCAAACATTGGACTGATATTCCATAATCACAAGTCAGAAGTTCAAAATGCAGTGGATATATTAATTCATGAAACTGATCTGACCAATATAGCACCAGAAGCAAATGAAAGTGTTGTGTTCAAAACAACATTGACTCCTAGTGGCAAATATCTTTTGACTAATTTTTTATGTAATTCCTTCATGGACCGGAACTGCCCATGTGGACCTGAGGTCAAACACAGTAGGTCAAACATGAAGCTAGATCAGTGGTTCTCAACCTGTGGGTCGGGACCCCATTTGGGGTCGAACGACCATTTCACGGGGGTCGCCAAACAACGCAGTCCACCATTTTTTTCCCCTTTTCCTTAGCTTTTATTCTACTGGCTTTTGAAAGCCAATAGAATAGACTCTCTTGAACAGAGTCTAATTCTATTGGCTTTCAAAAGCTAATAGGAATTGTCCAGGCTGTCTCTGCCCTGCTGAGCCCGCCAAAAGTCCCATTCTGCAAAAGGTGCTGCACCAGTTGAGTAGTCTCGACTTATGACCCTTTGAGTAGTCCTCAACTTACGACCGGTTGGGGGTCGCGGCATTAAAAAGGTTGAGAACCACTGAGCTAGATGTAGAATGAAAAAATGTCTATCTGCTAGATGTATAAATAGAGTTTAGAATTACTGGTACTAAACTAGACAATGCTTAACAATAGAAACATTAAAACAATAGAAGTGTATTAGAAAGCATTTATACCATATTAAAACGATCAATGATCGAAGTGTAGAACTTTAGCATCTGATTCTAATCACTACCATTCCATTTACTAATTCAAGATCTTTGAGGAGACTATTGTGACAATCAAATTACACTGTTTCTCCTATTCAATCCATGGAGATTGTTTTGTAAAAATCTAATGAAGACAAATAATTACGGTTTGATCAGAAAATATGAGAGAGAAATCATATCAAATTATCTTCTCCATATGCAGATAATTTCTACTCTCCCACTTTTCTCCACTGAGATGCTAGATCCTTGCTTCTAAACCAAAACATGGAATCTCTGTATATCTCTTTCTCTATTATATGTCTTGCTGTCCATAAAGAAAAAAGACATTGAATCTACTGAACTGTTATTTTTTCAAAACTGATTTTTCAAAATAAACAAAATCCAACAAAATGAACAGGAGAAATCACTGCCTAATATGTTTAAAAATATTTAAATAAAAACAGTTTGGTTTTATTTTTATTTTACTTAGATTACTGTAATCTAAGTATTTTGAAACAGTGATCTTAAAAATAATGTGAGTATAAATTCAATGGAAAGTATGCTTTGAATTTTTTTTAATATTGTCAATTGATAGTCTCCTGAGAGTACTAACCCGAGAAAATAATTTTTCACTCATTATTCAGCAGTGGTAGATTTGAATTAGCTCTACTATTTAGAAATAGTAGAATTTTCCCATTCAGTGTGACATAACGTAAACTATATTTTCATAAAACACACGAATAATTCCTTTCCAGGAAGATGTAAAAAAGATTTTGTGTTCATAGAGAATTGGTTCATATTTATGGTATATATTTGTCCAAATGAGTTGAAATGTTAATGAGATCATGGATTATTCATGGTTCCTCAAATATATCAATTCATACCAGAAATAGGGATATATAAATGAAAATACAAAAAAAATCCCAAATTGGGACAATAGCCACAAACGTGGAATGAAATATTGGGATTGTACAACCTATTTGTAAAGTTATTTATCTCTTTTTGATGACACATTGATTCTACTATCCCATAAACAGTTTGGTAATTATTAAAAAGTTCAGTATGACCAGTGAAATGCTGTACAATAAGAGAATCTGGATTCCATGTAGGTAATTCCTTCCCTAAATGATTCTGTTATAATTGAGCAGGTAATCTGTGGGAATTTTGTTCCCTATTCCACCTAATTATCATTTCAGGCTATAAACAGGCTCTGCTCTCTGCCCTTCTTACTTACTGGGAACCACGAGATGTTTTAAATGTGCTCCATATGACAACTAGATTTGCTTCTTTGTGTATGCTATACTTGGTATGTACAATACTATGATGAATAAGAGGAAAGATAAAATGAAAAGATACCAGTCATTGAACTTTATTCATGTAAATAATCCCTTATTGCAGTATAAGCAGTTAACAATCAAAAGAAAAGTTATAGGTCCTTCTTCAAAAATAGAATATACTTCAGTGTAACTAGTGATAATAGCATTGACAAAATTCTATCACCATTGATACCCTTAATTAATTAAAAGTTAATAAAAATATTAGAATCTCTCCCAATATCTAGCATCTTATTATATATTAATAAAAATGTACAAATGTAGAAAAATGTATGTTTCTATGTGTTTAGATATAACATATTCAAACACAAACACATTCATGATAATAATGTTATTAAAGATACGCTCATTCAAATAAATAATTATGAACTGTAACAAATTATTACGTATTTTCATGTTAACATAATGAATTATAAGATAAAGCTCAAGTACTCCTGAAAAGAAAAATAACAGCATTGTATTCATATAAATTATGATTAAAAATATGAAAAAACTGAAGCGGTCTCCTTTACTCTTAGTGCAAATATTTCTATACAGCTCCAATATATATGTTAAGATAATGTCTATAATAATATCAAAATATTTTCAGTTTGAGCCACTGAGCGCTTTAGTTGGCATAGTCCTATCAAAGAAATAGGGTATATGCTTGCAGGATAAGCCAATCTGCATTTTTAATTTTTTTTTTAAATTTAAGGGTCTACTCTTCTGTAGATGGACTTATCTGCAAGTATATACGAGATATACACATATTATAAAAATATTACCATATATATTTTTGCTGATAAGCCCATCCATCGATAAGCCAAACATAATATTGACACCTAAAATTCTTGCCTTATATCTGAGTACATAATGTAGTACATGTCCACAGTCATAAAAACACCTTTGGAAGTCCTCTGTTATTTGATTCACACCTTAAAGTCAAAGAGTTTACTACTTTGGATATGCATTGGATTTGTCTAAAGCTTGAATTCTGTGGAGAACTTATATTAATTTTTATTCTTCATTCCTCATTTTATTTCCTCCTTTTTCAGATTCTTATCTGACCAATTGTGTATCAGTCAGCTAACAAATTATTTATTTAATAGGATAGTTGAGAGGTTATTCTTTTTTTGTCCTTCTACTTCAACCCCCAACAATGATCTCTCCCAGGGTTCCTTACATATATTAATAAACCCTTAAGCTATATGTTTGAAAAAAAAATCTATAATCCTGATCTATTACTGTAAGATATAGTATATCAAGACATTTAAGCACATTTGTAAAAAAAAAGTTTTAAAGATATTTAATAAACAAAACCCCAATATGCTGTTTTTTATAAAATTGAATACCTTCATAATACTGTAATTTTCCTGAAAAGTTCATCTCATACTGAAAAAAACAATAAAAGTTATAGTAACATTTGCTTTTCCCATTTCATACTAAATTATGAAATATAATTGGGTCAGTTCAATGGGGATTTGATTATTTTTAAAGCTCCTGATTAAAAATTAAAGCCAGTTTTCAAAGCATTATCAGTGTTGTGTCTTGGTGAGAATTTTATAGATTAATATAAAATAAGAGTCATAATTCTGACATTTACATTGTTTTTGTAATGCCTAGGTAGATTATACTACAGAATAGACTTTACTGTCTATAAAATCAAAGAAGATACAGAGCCAAACATTCAGAATGTAATTACAGAATGGGTAAGTTAGGCTACTTTTCAAACCATTGTATATACATTTTAAGTGTGCTTTTGAAGATGTTACTTAAATATTTTTTAAAATATTTAAAAGTATGATATTTAAAATTTTAAATATTAATTTTTAAAAAGCATGATTCAGAACTGGTAATTTCTAGATTATTTGTTCAAATGTACATACTGTTCATCTGAAATACTGCTTTTTATTCTGATCTTTCAAAATCTATAGAGATTAAGCAGCCACCATCCTTTTAGCTTTTCAGAAAGCCATCAAGACCTGGCTTTTAACCCAGGCATTGGAGTAGAGTGAGGATATTTGGAGTTGATTGTGAGGCATCTCAAGGAGATGATTGAGGCACCATGTTTGTTTCGGTATTGTGATTTTTATAGTTCTGAGCATTATTATTGTTGTGAGCTTCTCAGAATTAAAACAATTAAAAGAATTAATCTTTTAAATTAATTTAGGCAGATAATAGTTTTGCTTTTTAAGATTAACCTGAACAATAAAGTAAAATAAAGACTTATCAGCAATAAATTAAAGTAAAATCAAGAAATGTACCATAGACTAGAATAACAGTGTAGGTGTTGGAGAAGGTGCGGGAGGGAGAGAGGAAGGAGAAAAGAAAAAGAAAGAAAAGAGAGAGAGAGAGAGAGAGAGAGAGAAAGAGAAAGAAAGAAAGTATATGACATATCTATACCTACAAGGTTCATAATTATGCAGGCAATAGTTTTCTCTGTGACACTGCATAGAATTGAAAGTTGGACTTTGAAGAAGCAGGATAGAAGAGTATCAACCTTTGTGAAATTAGGTGTTGGAAAAGAGTTCCTAGAATATTCTGGCTAGCTAGGTAAACAAACAAGTGGATCATGAAAAAAACCCAATCCAAAGTTTACCCTTAAGGTACAAAATTCACGAAATGATACACTTAAGGACCATATATGACCAAAGAAGAAAACCTGTCTATGTGGTTGACAACAACTAGAGGGCATTCAATAAGAAAAGGTGCATAGATGCAATGTTAGTAGATACTGTCTAATGATTAAAACTTCCATTAATTTGGTGCAAAATTAATTATATCATAATAAATATTATATAATTTATCAGATTTAACCATTTTATTTTAACATATTTTTGAGGGGGACCATTTTAATAATTGCTCCATTTTTTGGAGCCCATCTGGATAACAAGATTTTGTGCTTCACAAATTTTAGGATCAAGGCATACTAAACAAAGATATTTTTGTCCACCCTTGAAAGCTGCCAAATATATTTGGTTATTAATAGATAAGCGATAACCTTTCAAATTCCATCTGAAATTAGTACAGTAGAATAATCCAAATTTGAAAATACCAGGGAAGATGTTTGACTAGATTCATGATCTATACAAGAGATCACTTGATATCTGTTGAAAATAATTTAAGTATGATACTCTATTGAGAATGTATAGAATTGAAATTTTATGAAGTAGAATATTGACCTGAGGCTCTAGCAACTTCTAAGTAACTTGCAGTTTTAACTAAAAGATGCAGTACCTGAACCAAACCCAAAATTTCCAATTTATAGGGAATTTAAATGGAAAATGAAAGTTAGCATTAGTTAAATGTCTGAACTGTGGAATGAAGGATTGGAATATCCAATTTTGCAGTCAGTAGGTCCAGATATGAAGAAACCTGAATTTAAAATGAAATTAATTTACCAGAAAATATTTTATGTTTATTAGACCTTATATGTCAGTTCAGTTTTGGGAAGAAATTGGTACCTTAACCATTACATCAAACTGGGCTCTGTCTTTTGTCACTTCGAGTTTATTTTTTCACCACCATCTATGTAGGTTTATTCTCATTGTATAATCACAAGGTTTTTGATGGTGATGGTGGTGATATAGGTTTTTTTAATTCACTGTTAAATATGTTTTTAAAGGTTTACCAGTTGCTAAGGTCAAATGGAATCTAGATTAATAATGTTTGAATTTATTTATTAAATTTATTTGCTAGCCATCTTGCCACAGGGTTATAAAATTTATAGGCTATAAGGTTATAAATTTGCCAAGAGAGCCATTGAGATATTGTTTAAGTGAGAACCCCAGCTAAGACTTCTGCATGGAGATTTTTTCCTCGTATTTAGATTTCTGTCACTACTTTTAAGGATTAATAACAAAGATTTTGACTGTTATCTAATCCAGGTTCATGTCTCAGTTAGAGAGTAATAGTCTTCTATTAGTGCTTTATATTGATAGTGAAGGTATAGGTTAGGAAGAGAACTTTCTTACTAAGACATACTGCCATGCACTTTAGAATTCTTGATTTTCTGCACCTAACCTTGCTTTCCCTAACATGTTGTTCTGTGCCTTACCTTTTAAAGACTATTTTTTTCTACAATTAACTCACAAGAACAAAAGGAAATGTATGAACTGCTTATGGGTCTAGTAAAAGTAAGGGCAGAAATACTGTATATAGCATTTCTTTGGCTTATTATTTTTTTTACACTTTCTGTACTTTCCACCACAACATGAAAGGGAACAGCATGAATGATATGCTGGTGATGGTGATTATCATAATGATGATCATATGAAAATAAACTCAGATTCTATGAAGATAAATTCATACAAAATGAATTTAATGCAAAAAATAAAAGTTCCAACAATTTTATGCATTTTAACCTTTGCTCTGTTTTCCTGTTTTCTAGTTAATTCAGACCATGGGGAATTGGAATTACAATGTATGTGTGGTGGATGTAAGGTAGGTGCTTGCTTGACAGGATAGAAAGGAAATTTGCAGAAGGCACTTTTCTGAAAAATATGTGTTTTGTTTTTCTAGTGTTGAACCAAGTTCAATAAAAACCGCCTCAAGAGGAAAGAGAAGTATTGATCAAAGGTAAAATTGTGAGAAATTCTTGTTACAAAAACGCTGAAATAATTCTAGCAGTTTTGTTCCATTTATCAAATGCTAATTGGATTTATATTTGTCAAATAACTTTGCCTGGTAATTATATGAGACATATTTCCCAAAACATACCTTATTTTCCAGTGTATTAGATGACTTGGCGTATAAGACGACCCCCGACTTCAAGCCGATTTGTATGCTTTAGAAAGTCGTCTTCTTTGCCGGAAAATACGGCATTTCAAGCTACTCTTTAGTTATCAGTTTAAGAGCTAATGTCATAATTCCTTTTCGGAAGAGTCATGTTCTAGAAAAGATAAAAAGAAAGTTTAGGAAGCATCCAGGAGTTCCATTTATGAAAGATGTCAGTTGATGCGTTTTATAAGGAACCTACTACATACTTCCTGAAATCTGTTGTACACATATAGATAGTCCTTGATTTAAGACCACAGTTGTGCTTAAAATTTCCATTGCTAAGCAAGACAGTTATTAAGAGAGTTTTGCCCCATTTTATGAGCTTTCTTGCCACAGTTGTTACGTGAATGACTGTAATTGTTAAGTTTTTATGGTTGTTAAATGAATCTGACTTCTTTGTTGACTTTGTTTGTCAGAAGATCTCAAAAGGTGATCACATGATCCTGGGACACTGTGATCATCATAAATACATGCCAGTTGCCAAGCATCTGAATTTTAGTCTCATGACCATGGGAATGCTGCAATGATCATAAGTGTGAAAAACATGTCACTTTTTGTAATTTTAGTCACTAAACCAATGGCCATGAGGACTACCTGTATATATTAGCATCATACAGCACCACAGGTGAAATGTTAATAAATAACTACAATAATATGAATGTTCCACTAAATTTCATTTTTCGCTGCAAAGTAACACGGCTATCCCACTGGAAACAGTTTTAGTATTTCAAGATCAAATTATATTTGCCTTCATTCGTGAGTTTTAGCATTGTTTGTTTTCTCAAAGACTGACAACTGAACTAGAGTTAGGGAAGAGTTCTCATAGAATATTAAACTCTGGAATGGCTTGACGAAGTGGTTTGTTCATCTTACATCACTTAGTAATTTCTATTAAAGTTATCAAAAGCTCTTAATGTTCAGATTGCATTGATCATACATTGGTGACAGATGTATGTTTGCCAGTTCCTGAACCACATGGTGCTTTTGCACCTGGAGCAGCATAATAAAAAGATCTCTGGACAATAGTGAAGTGACAACACATTGTAAATATATTATTAATTTTTGAATAAATTCAATGTTTTCTCAGTTGTTACTGTAATGAAATGTCTAATTTTTCAGGAGTCCTGTTTCCCAATTAAATGATATCTATTGGAAAGCAAAGAGAATAATTTTTAAAATCATCATCGTTTGCATTTAATCTCTATATTTGCCCTCGATATAACTGATGCCATGTCGTTTTTGACATCCCAGTAAAGCCACACATTTCTGTTCCTGCTGCTGCTGCTGTTTTTCCCCGAAAGATCATTCATATCCTAGGTGTAACCATATGAGCAAGTCTAGGTCAGATGGGTAAGATGTGTATTACAAAGGGGCTCCCTTTTTTTCTGTTTCTGAATTCCCCATTTTATTTTGCAAATTGCATTGTTGCCTTTGATGTTATTTACCAGCTCAATAAATATGCGCTTGCTGCACATTCTTACTACAAGGAATGACCATTCCTGTAACAAATAACAGCAAATCTAATCAAACAAAACTTTCTGTTACATTTAACAGTGTATTATAGAACTATTTCCTAAAACTGCATTTTTAAAAAATATGATAATAGGAAGAACTAGTATTTTTGGGTAATAAAATCAGTAATTTTGTTTTATAGTGCAAAATTAAATATCACTTTTATATGCTTTGGTACTGACTGATTTATCTGATCATTAAAACATGCTATAACAAGCAATAAACTAGGTGTTGTTGGCTTCCTTTGAGCTTGATTAATATTAGTTGTTACATTGAACCTAGTTAAGATTAAGTACGAGGAAGTAAAAGAAGTGGAAATTTCAAGTCTTCTTTGCGATCCCCATGTATTCTCCTGGGATTACTTCTTTTAGAAAGACTTCATTATTAGCTGTGATACCATAGGAAAAAAATCTCATAAGAAGAAAACAGGATGTTCCAATATGGCATATGTAAATTGATGAATTGGTGAGTCCATTAATAGGATTGGTTGATTAATTAATTATTTTTGTGAATTAAATTACACTGATCATATTTAAATGCCTTATTATTATACTATATTCTGATTCAGCATTTTTTTTTTGCAGTTTTGAGGTCCGTGCTCTTTTAGCTTACAATTCTACCGACAATGTAAATTTAGAAGAACAAACCATTAGGAAGAAACTTGAAAACAGCAATATCACAGACAACTTGAAACTCCATGACGTGAAAGTTCATTCAATAGGTAAGGACAGAGTTTTTGTTTTTGCTGCATTCTCATTTTATTACTATTAGATTAAATATCAATATTGCAAATATTAATATTGTGATCACTATTAGTGTATAAGAACAATACGTTTTAACAAGTAACTGTATTTTAAACATACTGTTTCAGTTTATAATTTTATGTACTGTACTATGCTTTAAGGAATTAACTATTCTACATTGACCAGATAAGCAGAAGACATTAAAATAGTGAAGTCAGTTGCAACAGATGAGAAATCAAAATTAATAGATTTAATAGTTCTGTTCATGGTTTGAAAATAATCTACAGTATAAGAAGTGGTTCAGACCATGCACAATTGCAAGCAGAGCTGTTCATTCATTCATTATTGTCATTTTTCAGGTTCCTTTGTGAGTCTGAAAAAATGCCATTATATTAAGAATTATATTGAAAACATATACCTTTAATGCTTCAATGAATATTAGAAGATTGATTGTACTGGTCTGAAATCCAAAACACTTTTTCCAAATTATTTTCAAAGCATGCAGTTCACGGATGTTCTTCAAGTTCACCTTTAACTTAGCCCTGGTAGAAACGGTACAGCAGAAACAAAATAATGGGGAAACTGAGGCTTCTTGAAACCATTTGCACTTGTTTCCTCACAGATTAACAGAATGAGTAAAAACTATTTATGATTGAGAAAAGTTCTGTATACTTTTGTGTTGAATCTTTATTCTCAGTACCTTGTGCCCTATGACCCATGCCACAAGAAACAAGGACATTATGCAAAGGATTTGGTGGCTGATCTGGGAAGGAATTAACATCTGGGACAATGGCCCTAGAATAGTACTGCAAAATAGTAATGGAATTCGGGCAAAGCCAGATCAGAGTTAGTTTGACTAAAATGGGCCAATACCTGAGCAATACCCTAACTTAGAGACAATAGGACTGAGCAACATAATGAGCTTTGAATATCACATTGCAAGCCACCAATTCAGATCCAAGGAGATTTGGAATCATTTGTTGTTCAGTCCTGATCCACACATTCCTGATTTGTTATGAGTTATCATATTATAAATTAGTTTAAAATGTATAGATTTTTTTTAAAAAAAACCACGGATACTAATTTCTCTCTGATTCTAGATGATTTTTGTCTCTAATTGGAAAATACATTTGTATTCAGTGATGTACATTTTGTTTCATAAATGCTCATCCCATTAGGTCAGTGTTTCCCAAACTTGACAATTTTAAGGCATGTGGACTTCAACTCCCAGAATTCCACAGCCAGCGTTGCTGGCTGTGGAATTCTGGGAGTTGAAGTCCTCATGCCTTAAAATTGTCAAGTTTGGGAAACACTGCATTAGGTATTTGTAAGTAAAAATAACTTGGTATAAAATTAAACCTGACTCATTCAGATCAGTCTAACAACTTTTACTAGGAAGCTAAAGTGTTAATGGTTGTTTTTTGTTCATTTGGTTGGTTGGTTGGTTGGTTGGTTCACTGCTTTTCATTTGCTCTTGTAGAAAACTGTGAGGCTCAGGAACAGCCTCTAAATTACTTTTGGAAAGAAACCGGGCCAGAAGAGACTGCCACCACTAACTGCTATGACAGCTCTACCCAGATTGCATCACGAACATGGTAACAACTCAGAGATCACGAGATGCTTAGTAGTGAGACTGAGATGAGGTATACTACGGATATAATTTAAAAGTGACAGATATAGGTTTTTAAAAGTAAAGAAGCAAAAGATACAAAGGATTTAAAATAACACAGAAGGACTATGTGATTTCATAAAAACATCCATATATTGATTGCCAATATTTTCTGTTCTATCTTAGTTTTCTAAACCTGAAAAATTATACATCTCATTGGGGTATTCCTGATCTTAGAAACTGCACAGGTAAGGGTTTGTGTATCTGCCCCATCTATTTGTGTATTTGTGTATCTGCTCCATCCATTTGAAATATTTCTTTTCCAAGCTTCAAACACCTCTGGGCCTCACCAAGAAAAGTTTTTAGATATTAGTCATTAATATAAAATTATTTAATGCTTTACTGAAGAATTGCACCGTTTTGTTAGACTCTAAAGCACAATCAATGTTTATTTTAGATATATACAGCAAACAACATGTGTTTATATAGCATAAATATTTAAATTTACTCAGAATATTCTATCAGATTTAGTTTTTGTTTTTTTTATTATTCCTACTGAAGAAAAATCAGAATATTTTTAGCATTTGGCCATGGGAACTTGGCCAAAATCCTCTCACTCCGTTGTTTATTACCGTAGCACCACATGAATAATTTGGGTGGCAGTCCCGCTGACTAGGACTAGACTCCCATCCTGCAGAAAAATGGCTTTAAAGATAAAGAATCTCACCCATAAGATAGGTCTATTGATACAATTGAAGCAGCTATCAAATCAGAACAGCCTGTTTCCCCCTCTCACCTGTCATCTTTAAAGAGCATCTTTAGATTTGTTAAACACTTTTAGGCATTCATTTAGCACAGAGGTTCGCAACCTTTTTGGTCACCAGGGACTGGTTCTGTGGAGAGAGGTTTTTCCACAGATCGGAGAGTGCATAGTTTTGTGTGCTACCTTCATCCCATGAATTGTTTGTGCGGATTGGTTGCTGGCATGCCGCGGCATGGTACTGGTCCACAGACCAGGGGTTGGGGACCCCTGATTTAGCATATTAACACTAATAAACTAATCTCTGTCCTCAGATATTTCAGCTACCATGTACATTATGCAGTGCCATAAGCAGTGGATAGAATTTTATAACACAATACAAAACCAACACCAACACCAAAATCATACTAGCTGATAGGCAGAACAAATGAATATGAACCCAAAGAATGAAAGAAAGAATCAGACCCAGCAGAGTCTGAAAGAGGCAAACAACACTGAGCAAACTGTCCAAAGCCATCTCCAATCTCCATTTTTAATGGCACTCTGGAAGCTCTATTACAGCAGTACACACTAGGTACATACACATCCTGATCCTCGATAAACATGCTATTAATTGGAAAGGAACTTTTTCTGGGACTAACTGGCATATATTCTTTCTTTGTGTGCTTTCAGAAAATGCTGCTGACATAGCCAATCAGCTACTAAATCTTACAGGAGAAGGGCAGCAGTTGACTTCAGACAAAGTCAATGATGTGATCCAGAAACTAAAAAAAATTGTGAATGATGAAGAAATTAATGAATCTTTGGGTTCTACTGTGATGACAATATTTTCTAATATTTTAACTAGTTCTGATAATGTATTGGCTGCATCATCTTCCGAGTAAGTGTTACTGGAAGAGGATCTGAGTGTTATGCAGAGTTTTTTTAAAATGTTTATATATTGGTAGTCCATGAAGGACATACAAACCATGTGAAACTTTATCTGCATTTTATAATTAACTCCTCAAGTGAATTATTCAAATCATTAAAGAAATGAAGCCTAATTTTAAGTACCTTAGCATCTCATGGGCTTGATAGCAAATCTGCTATTTTGATATTAAACCAGTTTTCCTCTAAGATCATAGCAGTTAAAAGAAGTCATAGTGAAAGGTAGATAAAAGGTGACAGGATGTACAAGTGACACCAATAACATTCACTAGATTAGATACAAGAAAAAAGTGTTTCTTTGAATCAAATTAGTGTAACACATTCGCTCAAGTAACATCAATTTAACTCTTAATTGCAAATGTAATCCAAAGGAACAGATGCCCAGAAAAGAGATGCGTTTGTTTGGCGTAATCATAGCTCCCAGCTTGGTGGTAGAATAGAAATTATAGTGCCCAATAAAGCTTTTGCAAATTCTCTCCCATTCTGCCCATGCTAATAGATGGGATACAACTGGTTTTGTGAGTAGTTATAATTGTATTGTGGGGGCAACAACTATCAAAAGTCCTGGCTATCTCTCCAGTATCTATCAGTTATTGTTTCCCCATCACTATAAGCAAAATTTAAAAAAATAAGAGTTAGGCCTTAAAAATAAGGAACGTCATAATCTACATTTTAAAAAATATGTTCAAAATACGACCATTCTAAGAGAAAAAAAGCAACATTTTCCTCCTCCAGCAGGAAAAAGGATAAGAGCAAAGAAAGAAGATCTGCATATAATTTTTGTTCTCTTTCCCATCATTTGGGATACACTGTACTTGAGTAGAATTTGCTCACAAATATCTGAATATTTTGTAGTTTAGGTTTTTTTTTATAGTTAGGTAAATCTGTGCCAAAAATAATACCTACTAATGCATGCAAAGGTTCTTTAGACTCAAAGTGCTTTTAATCTCATTATTTTAATGAATTTGATACGTATGCTTGATTTTAGAGCTATAAAAACAATTGATGCCTTGGCATTGAAGATTCAGTTTACAGGTCCCTCCATGAACATTTCAACCCGAAACTTAGCACTTGGAGTTTCATCCTTGAATTCATCTTTATTCAATGGCTTTTCCTTCAGTGTTAGTCCCCAGAACAATGCTTCAGATTTTCAGGTATATCAAAAACATTTGCATACTGTATAAACATTCAGGGTTATTTTCCAGCAAGATACATTGACAGGAATGTAATTGATTAATTCAGTGATTTATGGCAAGTTAGTCAATTCAAGGCAAGGATGAGCAATGCTTACTATGTAATCCAGATGTGCTTACCATTTCATTTGTGGCTTCCAACACTCCCTCGAGTGACTGGGGCCAGATGTTTATAAGAAGGAGAGTTTGGGAGGCTTTTATATGCTAAAAAGATGTCTTGCAAGGTAAAGCACCTATTTTACTCCTTAAAAATTGCTGCCATCTCTCATCCCCCAAAATACCTGTTAGATTTTTTTCCCCATGGGATGTTTAAGGGCAAATGAGTTCTTTAAGCCCTTAAATATTGTTACTGTCAAAACATGACTCACCTAAAGCAACCAAATCATGTTGAAGACACAATGTAATTTTATTTACATGCAACAGTATATACTGGGCTCCCAACAAAGCTTTGACTCTTTGCTGAGCAAGCATGAGCAAAAGCAGAACCAGAGCTTGTATACCTTTGGCCCACTACATAGCAAAGACAAGACAAACAAAACGACAAACACAGTGTGGAATGTTTTAGATAAATCCATCCATGTGACATTATTATTTATCCCATTCTACTAGGTCAGCATGCTAGCCACACTATCTTTGAGATAGTGAATAGAAACGATTTGGTTTACTGGGGCCACAGATTCCTGATTGATTCTTCTCCTTGCCGCCACCCAGGGTCAATTCAGCTTTCTGGGAATGTTTTCCTACAAGGTCATTTTAAGTAGTTACGGGAGGGGAACCTCTTGGGTTTGATAGTGAATGCACTATCAGGTTACATTTTGGCCTTAACAGTGTGCATCATAAAGCATCAGCAATTTAGTCCTAGTCTCTCTGAAGGTGTTATATGGCGAACCTATGACACAAGTGCCAGAGGCGGCACTCGGAGCCCTCTCTGTGGGCACACATGCCGTCGCCCCAGCCCTGCCTCCCCCATAGCCCCCTCATCAGCAGCCCCCCCAGAAGAGAGTCACGCCCGGATGCAGCCCGGGCAGAGCAGCACAGCCAAACACATGGCAGCTGGGCAGCAGATGATGCTTTGGGGCATGGGCAGAGGGCATGGCCACCATGGTGCTGCAGGGCTGCCTGGGCGATCTGCAGGCCGTGGATGGCCCTGAGAGCGGGCAGGGTGAGGGTGGAGCAGGGCGTGGGTGGGTGGACAGAGTGGGGGCAAGCTGGGGGCAGGGCGGTTTTTGGGCACTCGGTCTCTAAAAGGTTCGCCATCACTGTTATATGGCATTGCGGGCCACAGTCTCTGTGGTTCCCAGCAAGAAACGTAAGCAGTATTCTGTTTCTAGGTTGTAGAATGTGATCCATCTCTGATTTAAGGCTTTGGGGCTATGTCCTACGTGATAAGGGGTTTGAGCTAGTTTATGCAGTACTGTTGTGTTGTATATTGTTCCATCAACATTCAACAGCAAGTTAAATAAAAGGGCTGAGATAAGATATTAGAATTTGAAACTAGTACTATTCTGTGGTAAACATTATATCTGGCCCATGCTGAAAGCAATCTAATCTATTAAGTTTTATGAGTTGAGCAGCTTTTTAGGGTAGGCTCAAGGACTTATTGCAATTATTACAGTAGTTGTTGGTTCACTGGGAGGGAGGTTGCTGAGACAGACTCTCTTAATTATTTACTTCTCAGTGAATGCAAACCAAAATATATTTAGCACTATTATCCACCTGTTAAAATAGGTAAACAATAGCTTTGAAAAAAATGATAAGTTGATCTTGTAAAACATGAATTATATCAACTTCTAAATGAAAATATTTTTCAATAAATTAACATCAATGTTGATTTTTAAAAATAAACAATATTAAATTGCTATTTATGTTTAATAGAGAAGATTTTAAAATTTTCTTTATAAGGACATAATCTTATAAACTGAAACAAAATAATATTAATTTTCATAATGCTGAGGAAGGACTAAACTTGTTATTAACTAAATAATTAGGAATCAAATAATACCAGTATATTCCCTCATGAAACATAGTAAATAGTTTCTATTTTTATTTTGATGGTTTTTTTTGTCATTTTTCTGTTTTAGATTGATTTTCATCAATACCAAGAAAATTCTCTTGCTACTGTTTCTTTGCCTCCAAGTTTGCTAAATAATTTAAGTCAAGAAGATCTTGAAGCAATATCCAGGGCTCAATTCACTTTTTTCAATAAAAATGGACTCTTCCAGGTAGGCATCAATATGTTTAATGGTTACGTAAAGAACATAGCAATACTGAAATTTATCTTTGTGATTTTGGAGAGATGGTACTGTTTTTATGATCCTATGTATATATTTAGAGAGAGGAATAGCAGGATGACATTCATTTTACATCTATGTGCTCATTATCTGATAAAACCTTTTGAAGATTCTTTCTGTGAATGGCAAATGTAGTGAAAGACCTTTCTACTATAAAGGCCAATTTAGATGTGAAGTGAATTTTGATGTAATTAATGGGTAGTTTTTTTAAAATATCAATAGTGGCTCTTTTTCTTTCCATTGCTTTAATTTTTGTTGGTTTATTCTTTTTAACCTTGAGTGGCCTAGTGATCTAGAGGTGGAGCTCTCAACTCAGAGTCAGGAGGCTGTGAGTTCGATACTAGGTAGCGGCAGATATTTCTCTTTCTGGGCACAATGAGTAATTGTCTGCTGTGAACTCTGCATAGATGTCAGGAAGAGCATCCATCCAGTAAATGTTTAGCTCGAGTCAGTTACCCTGACGCCATCCCCAAGCAACGGATTGCAGGGTCATTAAAAGAAAAAAATATATTATTTTTAACCTTGGTATTTAAAAAACAAGTCTTGATCATTTATTTGGTAAGTAATGCACAGTTACAGGAGGGGAAGCTAAAGAATACCAGAACTGCAGGATTTCAAAAGAAAATGTAAATATTTCCTTGATATGCAGGTATTATCTTTATGGGCTTTCTTGAGTTCTGTGATCTACTAAAGAGATCCTGTTTTTCATGTTGAATAATACATTGATGGGTAGAAAGTCTTCTCAATTGCCTTATAGCCTTGGAATGTATTGCTCAGTGAAATACATATGGGCCTCTTTATTTCTGGTTTTTAAAAGAATTTTGAAAACATTATTATTCCACTCTGTTTGATTAATTTTACTGGTGTTCTGTGTTGTTTTTGCATGCTTTCTTATGGTGCAATATGCCTAAAAGGCAAGAAATGTCTTCATAAATAAACATTTACATTTAATTTGGGTAAAATGTTCAAATAATAGGTAATATTAATCTGCCTCAAGACTTTATAAAGAACATATGCAGTTAACAGCATATTCATACAATAGATTGTCCAGGTCCAATAGAAATAAATCCTGAGTGATACATGGGATTGAAATATAATCCGTTTTGTTCAAAATAAAATTCTGGTGCTAGTAAACTCAGTTTAAATGTGAGTATTTGTTCATAAGTACAAGATTGGATAGGTACAATGCCTAATCTTCTTTCTTGTTTGTTCAAATAATTTTATTAAAGATTACAATTACAATAGTAAAGTAAATGCAAATGAAAAAAAGGTTAAAGAAGAAAGAGTAAAATGTGCAAAGAGAAAAGAAAAAAAGATATAAAGATTAGAAAGAAAAAGAAAAGTAAGAATAAAGAAAAATATATAAAGAAGTGACTTCCAATCTTCTCCATAAGAAGTATAAACAATTTTGGTAACTTTTCACCTTCCTTTGGTATGTGTTGTGCATAAATGGAAAGGAAACAGATGGCTTTACCCAGCTTGGATGTACTCTCATAAGAGTTTTTAGCATTTAATCTACCAAAAAAGAACCTCAACATACTATTTGAGAGAGTACTACATTAAACTGGAAATAGCTTCCCTGTTGATGCATTAAATGTTAATTATGTTATGTATGAGTGTTAACAAACCACTAGATCTTTTTCTTTCCCATCTCTTTATCAAAAGATATAATGAATAAAGTTTGGAAGATAACTATATCCTTGCTTAGTCCCAATTTAGATTGCAAATCAGGTTTAAACCATGGCTTATATGAAGTGGTGTACTGAAATAATTGCATGATAATTTAATGATAATTTAGATAGGCAGCTTGTGAAAACATGTCTGAATTTTTGGGGTGGGCACAGGGGTACAGGATTTGAAAACTGTATGTCCCTTTTGGATATTCGCGATAGGATGATGTATAAAATAGTAAAACTGAAGATAAGTATGATCTCCTTTCTGTAAGACAGGTTTTGTTAATAAAAGGAAGCTGTTCCATCTTTAATTGGGAACTAATCTAATTATATCATTGGATATCAATCAGTATTGTTTGTGAATTAACTCCTGTTGGCCTCCCAAAAAATGTCAATAGGGAAACATTTTCTCAGAATGACTGAAAAATTACGCATTGCAGCAGTAAGGGAAATAGACTTTCTGGGAGGAAAAAGTCTTTTAAATTAATGAACAGGATGTTCTTATAATCAAGTAATGTTAAGCATTATGTACTAGCAATATTTGTTCTGGTAACATGAAGAAATAAATTTATGAAGTCTTGTTTCTATTATGGGGGTTTATAAAATAATGTTTTCCTATGGAATCTTTAAATTTATATCCTAAAGGATCCAGAGGCTCCTTCCAATTTAACCAGTTACGTGGTAGCATGCAGTGTGGGGAATACTACTATCCGTGATCTCAAGGAGGCTGTGAAAATTACAATCAAGCATACATTCAAACATGATAACATCCAGGTAAGAGATCTTCAGCTTTTGTTTAAAATATAATTAATTAAGTTAGAGTAGGAAAATGTTCATTTGTCTGTACTGAGCAGGAGGGCAAAACAAAATGGTTTTTAGAAACAGAAATACTTCTACATAACACACATGTATTGGCAACTCTGAATTATTTTCTGTGGCCCCAGAATTGCTTTTTTCCCCTCCAAAATCAAACCTGAAATCAGAAAGCTGGGGGACAAAAAGGGAAGGTAAAATTTCTTGCCCTTTGTGAATTGAAAATGGTGTACATAAAGTTACAGGGTAACTCTTAGAATAACTTAAACATAAATCAGAAACTTTGTTTTTCCATGGACCCCATCCCACAAAAAACTCAGTTGTTTATGATAGCTACATGGCTACTTGTTCAAGTAAACATATGAACATCAAATATATCCTTAAAGAAATGTGTTAGCATTCCTTTTTCTTCACTAATGAGAGAGGCTATGTGTAGGTTCCAATTGAATGTACAGGAATCCACTAACCATTATGTCTATACTTTTTCACAACTGTTAATGGGAGAAATTAGAGAAAAAGAAAAGCATAGTGACAAGTACAGCAGCATTCGCTGCTTTTTCTTGCTGTGAATCTACAAAGCAAAACAGTAATATCAGGGCTGATCCTATCATGTAAATTAGGAGTCACTATGTGGGAGGAAAGTGACCTGAAATACAGGAACATTTTCAAGAACAATCAACTTTTGCTAGAGAAGATTCCATTCCTTAATCCATTGTCACCAATTATCTCCTGCAAGTGCTTTCTATTTTTTCATTCACATTCGCTCTTTGTTAGAGGACTAGGAGTTCAATAATTTCTAATCTTGCAGCTTTGAGACAGTCACAGAATTACAAAGTCTTAGAAAATGTAGCATTTTTCCCAACAAATGATTTCCTTACTAATTTCAGAAAAACTGATTTTCTTCAGAAGAGCATTACAGAACTAAAGGGTTAAATTCCACAGTGTCTGCTTTTTTCCAGTAGTTATCCAACTGATTAAATGTGCTTGTTCAGAAGTTTGGATTTTTAATTGAAAATGCTCATTTAAGATTGTTTCTAATTTGTTCTTTAGTTTTTTATCTGTTTACAAGATAGAACAATAAATGGAAATAAATATAAATGGACAATTAGCTTCCTTGCTTAATTAATAACATAAGACATTACTTTTTAATTCATGTACCTAATGGAGATGCAATTTTGTTTTTTTGTTGTGCTTGTTTAATTTATAGAACACTCCTAATACTACTTGTGTTTTTTGGGATATGAACAAGAACAGTAAGTTTATTTTTTTCCTCTTCTTTGATATGCAAAATATGGGGCATTTCTGAAAACTTTTATCTACTTAGCAGTACCGGTAAGACAATTCACATTCAAATCTACTAATAATTTATACAAGAGGTAGAGTCCAAAAGTTTAATCTAACAGTGGCACTGAGCCTCCCTCTGGTGGTGAACTCTTTAATACAATCCAGTTATGTGATATAATCAAACCATCCATTATAGATGAATAATTTCCGTGTATTTCTTTGGGATTTTCCCCTTCTGTAATCTTGTTGCAATTCAGACCACACTCAGGAATCAGAAAATAAATTGGAAAGTGTTTACAACTAAGCAACTTCTCCTATACAAACTGGAAAGTGATTATAGCCAAGCAACTATCCCTGTACAGATACTTTGTTTTCTAGAGTAATGAAAAGGTGTGTTGATGGAAGGCAGTTGTTGGAAGTTTTGAGATGCATCCAAATCAACACAGGTTAGATTTTTACACTGAAGGAGCTATTTCAAGTAATGAAACATGCATTATGAAGGATAAATAGATGGGACATAGTTGTCCATACCCTTTGTCAGGGCACAGTTAAACTTCATCTATAATTTTTTGGTCCGCTTTTGTGTAGCCAACTAGAAGGATTGATAATATTAAAGTAACATTTTGCTGAAAGTATTTAGTAATCATTCACAGCAATTGTGAACAGTTTTTGAATCCTTCCATTTAGAACAGGTTTAGAAGCATACTGTCATCCATTGAGGTAGAAGCACTCCCCTTTTTTAATGTGCATGTCATGTATCACACATCAGATTGGCAATGCTTCAGTTGCTCAGTCACACTTGCCATTTTGACATCGTTGACTGTCACTGTAGATACCCCTGCAGAATCAGCTTAGTAATCGACTGTATGTTTTATCATTCCATCATATTTGTTCTAGTTGCCCAAACTGTGATAAAGCAGGGAAGGGACCACTATAGAAGAGAGCAGTATTTACTACCCACAATGTAAATTTTAAGATAATATAGATTTTTCCTCCTGCCAAAATAAAAAATATCCATCTCTGTTCATGGTCTTCCCTTAAATGGGACAGATAAGATTGGGATTCGAGGTTCAGCTTTTTCTTCTAAGTACCATCAGCTTAAAAGAATAGTATATTACTTAATACATTGTATATATTAAATGCTGTATTCTTCTTACAAAGATTTACTGGGCTATCTTTTTAACTCTTTAAGTAATTGCTAATACACTTTCCATTTCTGTGCAGTTTAATGTTTGATCATGTCTGCCTCTTTCATTTTGTCCATTTTTGCTTACATCATCTTTATTTTATTTTATTTTATGTTATTCTACTGCATTATTTTTTAATAATTATTGTAAGCTATTTTCATATGTTGTGCATATAAAATGTGCGTGAAAAAAATTAAAGATGATGATGATGATGATGATGATGATGAATAATTTCCTTCATTGATTATTCTAGGAGGCCAAGGTGGATGGAATACAACTGGTTGCTATGCACTTCCAGAGTCAAATGAGAATGAGACTGTCTGTCTCTGCAATCATCTTACACATTTTGGTGTATTGATGGTAAGTGTCATTCTTATTCATTCATAACATATGTTGTATATAATATGTATATGTTGTATATAGTATGTTTAGGTAATTATCATGTATGTGTTCACTTTGACAGTGGGCAACTAAATTTCATTTTTGATGTGTGTCGTTGTGCCTACAGTAAAAAAATGACAATAAAGGTTATCTTATCTTAACATTCGCAAATTGCTATCTTCCTTGAGGTATTTTTTTAATTTTACTTAAATGAGCTTCTTTTGAATATACCAAACATTTCATGAAACATTTTTATTCTTTTACTATGAATTGTAGTATTCTTGATACCACACAATATAGTATTAGGCATTAGATGGGAATGTATCATTGAACATTATCTACACAGGAAAACATATGAGAAACACATCCTCATCAGCAATATTCAGCATTGATAGAGGCATCATATGCTTTCATTTATTCTGCTTTGATCCCTATGCAAAAAGTTAATAATACAACATAGACGACTATATATAGTTATTTTGCATTTTCTTACATATTCTGGTCCAGAGTGAGAATCTGCTACAGGAATTGTATTTCTGTTGCTGTTTTAGGAAAATAACTTTTCTGGAATTCATCTGGCTATTTTCCTTTAAAAAAAAAAATTGCCCTGTTGAACCATCTGCTGGCAAGGAAAAGATGTATTAAATACTGAACTTCTTAAAAATCTATGATAACTTTTTGACAATGAGCTCTTTTCAGTAACCATTTCAACTTTTGTTTTGATATTGACAACTTCTGAGATATTTTGGTGATTTTTCTCTTATAGTTTAAAGTTAAGTTGGTACATAAAAATTTTCCTGATTTAAATTATTATTTTTTAAAGTAAACTAGGTTTCAAATACTAGGTTACAATGTAAGAATGAGTTTTTCCCTACTCTTCCTTCCTACTTCCCTCCTATGGTTCTGTGTGGGTCCCTAACCCACAAAGTTAATATATGGCTCCCATAGGCTTAGTAATGTTGCAAGCTTTTCTGTTCCCTTCTCAAGACTGTGTTACATTCTGCTTCCATATTTTTGTCAAAAAGGAGATCATTCTTTGAAATAAATTCAATGGGTCCTTTCTCTTGCTGCGAATAGTTTTGTGAAGGTTTTAGAAATGAAGACAGGGAAAAGTCTATAGAATCCTGGCAGCATTCCAGTATGAAAATTTTAATATTTTGGGGCCAGTTCTTTAATTTGAGTATCCCAGTAACACTTCCAGGAATATTTCTGTGCAGAAATGTCTGACACTTCCCAACTTACAGCTGCATTTAAGACAGGATGAGGCAGCGGAGCCCATTACCAGACAGATGTTTACACCTCTTTAGTGGCTGCTTTAGTATAGAACACTTTCTGTCTCTTTCAGCAGAGTTAACATCACCAGCCTCAGAAGCTGTCAATATCGTAGTTCAGTATTTTTTTTTTTTTTTTTTGAAATATTTAATGCTGGAAAGACTGTACTTACTTACTTGCCTGGGGGGAAGTCTATGGAACTCGGTGAGACTAAATAGTATAAATAGATATGAGTGTAATTGTGCTGTAAGAGTCACATTCTGGTATGGCCACTTTTACAAGCATGTTCGCACGGCTGTTCCGAGAAAGTGATCCTATAGACCAGGAGTAGGCAACCTCGGCTCTTTTATGACTCGTGGACTTCAACTCCCAGAATTCCTAAGCCAGCATGGCTCAGCTTGGAAACCTTTCCCTTTCCCCTCAGCATGGCTGGATCAGGAATTCTGGGAGTTGAAGTCCACGAGTCAAAAAACTTGCCTACCCCTGCTGTAGACAGAAACTGCAAATTGTCCACCCCTGTACTGTAGTGAATCTTCAGTCAGATCTGTGTAATGGAAAGTCTAAAGGGACATCACTATCGCATCCCATACAAATAGCATGTTCTTAAATCTGACCCGTGGTTTTAATTAAGTAAAAGCAATTTGTAGAGGTGGGAAATTTTGTAGTTGAGAAATAGCAATGAAATCTGTTCAATCCCATTTTCCCACATAAGATTACCTTCCTTTTAGCCTTTGTAATATTTCCACAAGATTCCAGTTGTATGTTTAACTTCTGATTAATATTCGAGGCCTAGTTGGGGGGAAATAATATGAATGTGTGACCTTGTGGAAGAAAGTATTCTTAAAATCTTTAGGATATCAATCCGCATTTTATTCATTTTATTCACTTTATGTGGCCACCCATCTTGCTATGATGACTTTGGGCACATTACAAAAGAAGCATCTATAAACAACAATATAAGAAGTGTATAATTAGCCAAGGAAAAACCCAATCAACAAGTAAACAACAACATCTCATTACAAAACAGCCAGTAAGCAATCCTTCTACTTGCAGTCTTCTATTTTCTCAGCATTCCTTATAAATCAGGATTTTTTTCCTCTTATAAGTGGAATCTTTCTTTATAAAAAAAAGTCTAGAAAGTTTAACAGTCTTGTCATTTTAGTGTGTGAAAATTTATGCCTGTGTTCTTTTATAGAGCCGTTTGGGAACTTCAGTTTGAGTGCTATGTTCCAGATTGGGAAAATGAAAGGAGACCCCTATTCCCAGGAACAAATCCAAGTTTTAAAGTATTTTGTCTCCTTTCATTTTTCCAATCTGGAACATAGTACTCAAACTGAAGTTCCCAAACGGCTCTATAAAAGAACACTGGCATAAATTTTCACACACCAAAATGACAAGACTGTTAAACTTTCTAGACTTTTTTTAATAAAAAAAGATTCCACTTATAAAAGAGGGAAAAAAATCCTGATTTATAAGGAATGCTCAGAAAATAGAAGACTGCAAGTAGAAAGATTGCTTACTGGCTGTTTTGTAATCTACATGACAAAATGACATAAACTATAGTGGTTTGCATTCACCGCTCATTACAACTGATATACAATATAGCCTCTGACTTCAGAAAAAGTAGGAAGGAAACAGCAAAGTATTAAATATGTCATCGGCAGTACTTTTGGCCAGATTGCCTATGACTTTCATCTAGGTTATTGTCACAGGAGAAAATAAACAGTTTTCAAAAATGTCTTTCTAACAGTTTATATACTTTGTTTCTTTTTCTGTGTAGGATTTGCCAAGAACAGCTTCACAAATAGATTCTGTAAATACCAAAGTCCTCACTTTCATAACATATATTGGTTGTGGAATATCGGCCATATTTTCTGCTGCAACTCTTCTGACATACATTGCTTTTGAGTAAGTGTTTGTTAAATAATAATTTTAATTATACCACAGTAATACATTTCAATCTAATCATTGTGTGGAGAGAGTCACAAGATCCGTGAATATGAGAAATCAGGAAAACGTCATAAAAGTAAAACGTGATCCCTAGTCTGCTCTTTCAGCAGGTAGATACAGTAAGACATACATTTTATTTGTGGCAGGAATGTGATTTTGATGTTGCAAACAAGCCAGAACAGACACCTAATAATAAAATGACTAAATAGTTGTTTAATTCCTCAACTAGGTAAGAATGTGAGATATCATATTAAAATCCAGCTCTTACTTATTTACTCTCTCTAATATACATGCCCATATATCTCTCACACACATAAGTCCATATTATACCTGAAATTATTTTAGAGATTCAGACATGAAGTTTTGTCTTCCTGATAATATCCTGGTTTCTATGGAAAATAGAATCAAACCCAAATTACAAAACAATTTGCTATAGGTACTACTTAAAAGCAAATGTATATATGTTACTTTCTCAGTGCACAAGTTTATAAACGGACTTGCCTTTCATCAATAGAAATGAGTGCATCTGTGTGTTCTGTTATGGCCTAAATAACTACGAGATTCAAAAAAATGTCAAAAATCAATGGGGTGGAATTCTTACTTGATTGTAATTTTGCTATCCATTTATCACCAGAAAACTGCGAAGAGATTATCCTTCTAAAATCCTAATGAATTTGAGCACAGCTTTGCTATGCTTAAATCTGGTCTTTCTCCTTGATGGTTGGATTGCATCATTTGACATAGATGGCCTCTGTGTAGCTATTGCCGCTCTCCTGCATTACTTTCTTCTGGCAACTTTCACCTGGATGGCCCTTGAAGCTGTTCATATGTATATAGCTCTAGTAAAAGTGTTCAATACTTACATTCGACGATACATATTAAAATTTTGTGTTATTGGTTGGGGTAAGTAAGGCTGTTTTACAGTTTTTGTTTTTAAATTAGATTATTCTAGCTCTTGAAGGCAAAGAGGGACAACAGAAGTTCAGTAGATATATGGGAATTATTTTGGGTTTTCTAGTTTTTCTATCCTTCCTTTCCGCCTTCATTTTTGGCTAAATTAGTACTTTTTATAAGTTGCAGGATTGTCCTCAAGTAAGTTCTGGCATTCTACCTAGATACATTTGTAATTTTAAAAGTTTTAAATATTTCACATAAGGCTTTCCATAACTTTTTTCAATTAATTTTTATTCCTAAAAGTGAGCTCTTTCCTTTAAATGTAATTACATAATTTTATTATGACTTATTTACAGAAACTGATAAAGTGCCAGAGGAGTGGTTGCTTAGAGCTTATATAACAGTAGAACCTATAATTTTAACACATTCATATGTTGATATGATATTCATATGGATGGCTTAAAAAGCCTGGCCAACTGATAATCTCACAAATTGTTATGAGCTATTTTTAGATAACAAAATTAGAATCTTTAGGCCAAAAAAGCTGAGTTTTTATTAGCCCAATTTCTAATTCCTGTCCTGGAGTCCTTATTTTCATTCAGTGAAGCATTTGCTTGCTTTCTTTTACAAATAAAAAGGTATCTGATGAAATTATATTCATACAAGTAGGAGAAGAACTGAAACTGAGAGCAAGGGATAGGTTCCTGCATTTTATGTATCTGGGTTATATATATTCATGGCTACAAGGAGCATTTTCGTAGCATAATCATTATACATTATAATCTAACACAGCATGGTAGCAACTGTTTCTTCTACAAAGCTAAGGAAAAATTACTAAAGTAAATGTATGAAATTCATAAAGTGAAATATGTTGCATTGTGAAGATTATATTGGTTAATTCATTGTATGAAGTATGCTATCATATATAGTTTTTCTGCGCCTTTATCTGTGCTGTTTTCAGATTGGAAGGGAGGACAGCTTTTATTTATAAAACATGCAGTGAACAGTGATTCCAATAAATAATTGTACAGTTCATGAAACAAAACTCATATTCCTTTCTCCTTCCCTCACATTTGTAATTTTTGAATTATGAAAAAACATTAGAGGGCTGGAACACAATTGTAGTATGCAACAATTCACAGAAAGAAAGAAGTAGTCATGAAATAACAGCAGTAAACTAATTTGTGAGTAGATTTCTTATAATTTAACTACATTGTTGACACCCATTTTGAGGTACCATACAAAATACTGACCACTAATCTAGAATAGAAGGGGGCATGATGGCTCAGTGGTTAAAGACGCTGAGCTTGTCAGCTGGTGTTCTGACCCGGCTCCACGAACACAACAGATGCACCAATAATTCTCCAACGTTCCTTTTATTCAGGAACGCCAGCAGTTTCATACAGTCGCTTATTAAAGTCTTTAGTTGCCTCCAAACGACAGAGCTTACTCCCTTTTCCTCTGCAGGGGTCTCCCAAAACCCAGAGTCTCTCATCACGCTTGCAGCAAGAGTCCTTCAGGCAAGCTGGCTCTTTTCTAATATAAGACACATGCACATGCTAAGAAAACTCTCTGACTCCCAGCGCCACAGGATTCGAGGAAAACTCCGGCAAGTTTCCAAACAAGAGTCAGGAGTTCCAACCAACAGTGGCTGACCAGCAGGGAGACGAATAGTTGTCTGCCACACCTATCCGTCTCCACCCCTGCCTTTTATCCACAGCTGAGGGTAGGGCTCTGTTGGCAGCGGTGACTCTTCCACCCCAAAGACCGTCCCATAGCCTCTCGCTGTTCTCCTCTCCTCAGCCTCCACCGTGCCCATGCATCAATCACTGGCCCCATGTGATCCTCCTCTCCTGAATCACTTGCCTCAAGATATGAGGTCTCAGCCTTTCCATCTGGGGGCTGGCGGGTGGCCCAGGCTCCACCTCTGTCCCTGGCTGCGACAGCTCCATACCTTCATCCCCATTAGAGCTTTCAGCTGGCCCTGACACTGGGCCCGATGCCCACTATTGTGCTTTCTCCTCTGAGTTGGGTGTGGAGTTCTCCGGCAGCTGACAGGCCACAACAGCTGGAAAGCTAACAGTCCAAGTTTGAGACTCAAGCATTGCACAACAGGGTGAGCTCCCATTCCTTGCCCCAGCTCTTGCCCACCAAGCAGTTAGAAAGCTTACAAATGCGAGTAGATTAATAGGTACTATTTCAGTAGGAAAGTAACAGTATTTTGAGTACCTTTGGCATATAGCCAAACTGACCACATGACTACGGAAATGTCTTCGGATAATGCTGGCTCCCTTGGCCAAGAAACAGAGATGAGCACCATGCCTTAGAGTCGGACATGAATGGACAGGGAAACCTTTATCTTTTTAAAAAAAATTACAATAGAACATTAAACCACATATTATTGACATGCTGAATTCTTAGAACTCAGATAGATTGAAATGCAATTTCTATAATATTTCTTCATTAAATATCCCCTAAAATCTAATAAATTATTTTAAAAGTAACATATGGTCTAGCGTTCGGCAATTTAGCAAAGAAATGATGTTATCCACCAGTGAAGAATCTTTTATACACTTTATTACCAGTTGAAATTAGTATCTAGAATACTTTACATATAATCACTTCTTTCTCTTTAAAAGAGTGAGTTAATCTTTATAAACTCTTTATAAGACTTTTGATAATCATTTGCCTGCCCCTGGTATGTATAGCTACTCTTATCCACTGCAGCTACTTAGAGCAAAATACTGAAGGTGAAAGAAGAGAGGTTTTTCACCACCAGAAGTGTTATGATATATTCACAGAATCTGCTCTAGAAAGGATTAGAAACACTAGAAGAAGAAGAAGAAAGACAGCTTGTTCCTATGTAAGATATATTTTTACCAGTACAACATCATATACAAAGCGCTTCATTATTATTTTGTTTAGCTATTTCTTTCTTGATGTATTTGAAATGAGTCAAGTTGAGCTGGCAGATTCATTGTTATCTATAGTGTATACACTACAGCTTAAGGTTTACAGTTACATTGAGTATTTGAAAATGGATGAAACTAGGAAAAAGAAATATTAGAAATATTGATAATTGATTTTAAAGCCACTGTTGCATTAATTTGCTCTATTAGATGGTGTAGCAGATAGCTGAGGTTTACAAGGTTCACAAGGCTGGAGGTCCTACCTCTTTTTCCAGACATCTCATGTCATCACACCCTTATTAAGCCTCTGCTTTGAGGTACCATCTTGGTAGCATCTTGGTATTTCCTTCTAACACCATCAATTTTATGAAGGTGCCTCCCCTGACATACATATTTCATTCCAGTGCTTTGAGAGAGATAGGGCTCTTACACTCTATCCTTTCTTTCTGATTAAATAGGCAAAATGTAGAATCACCTTCTGGTCATTCACGTAGCATATAAATACAGTGCTTAGAGCAGGCATGTCAAGATGCCGGCCCACGGGCCAGATGCATCATACTGAAACCGCACCCACCCCATTGCTGGCAATGGGGGGAAAGTCACAATACATCGCGCGATGTCACGTGACATTGCGAGTTTTACATGCCTGGCTCAGAGAGTTCAGCCTTTCCTCCCCCATGGCAAGTAAATCCCAAGTCCCATAGGAGATAACAAAATCTGCATGATGAAGATCCATGTGTACTCATGAAGGTTGTATGTAAGAATCTGCAGTTTACATTCACAACAGATGGGTTATTATAGGTTTATAAAACTTCCTTTTGCTGTGTTTTATTTTAATGCAGGTTTACCAGCATTGGTGGTGATTATTATTCTAGCAAGCACCCATGCAAATACAAATAATATTTACAACAACATTCTGGATGACAAAAATAATAAGGAACAAGGTGGAGATAACTTGTAAGTATTAGGTTAAAACATAATGATGCAGACACCCTAGTACATGCTTTTAAATCATTTTTAAAATGATGTAAATCCAATAAGAATATGTATCTGATATGATGGTAGTAAAGGCAAATACAATAAAAGCAAATTTGTCATGATCCTCTTCCATCCAAGGAGCCAGTTAAGTAAGCTTTCCACTTTTGTTAAAATGTAACACAAGTAATTCTAGATGTTGGATGAGGAAGAAGCATTATTTAGTGAGACATGCTTCGCTTATGCAATTTCCTAACTTACTAAGGGAGGACATGTTCTCATGGACATTATTGTCGTACTTGAACTGTGGCAATGATGAATAATATTTTAGTAATTCAGTGCTACAATTTTTTGTGTTAGAATTCTAGTTTTTACTATGTGAAAAGTAATTGTGATGATTCTTCTGGAAACATTTAGTAGAAACCATTAATTTAGGTTAGTGCATGTGTGGCATTTACATGAATGTACTTTGCTTCACTTTGCTCATTTGATAAGCTCAACTTTCCGAACACGTGCATAAATGATTTAAAATGAAGGTAGTTATGTTTTTTTATCTTCGCTTTATGAGTTTATTGCTGAAATGGCTATGAAAGGTCCTTGACCATAATTGAGTCCAAAATTTCTGTTGCTAAGTGAGACAGTTGTTAAGCGAGTTTTGCCCATATTATGACCTTTCTTGCCACAGTTGTTAAGTGAATCACTGCAGTTAAGTTAATAACACAGCCGTTAAGTGAATCTGGCTTCCTTATTGACTTGGCTTGTCAGAATGTCACAAAAGGGAGTCACATGATCCCAGGACACTGAAACTCGTAAATATGAGTCAGCTGCCAAGCATCCAAAATTTTGATCATGTGACCACAGGGATGCTGCAAGGGTTGTAGGTGTGAAAAACAGTCATCAGTCACTTTTTTCAGTGCTGTTGTATCTTTGAACGGTCACTAAGTGAAGTTGTAAGTTGAGGATTACCTGTATAATACCAGCATTATGACATAGAATTTATTAGTTCTGCTCCTTCTGGAGTTAATCTCCATTGAAATCAAAGGGATTGACTCTCATTTATATGCTTTTAGACTGAAAACTTTACTCATAAAATGTATGTTTATGTGACATTTATTTGAATTTTTCATTCCAATACAAACAAACATGTTCCTGGTGAAATAACCATGCATTCTGTGAATATTCATTGTTCGTAGGATGTTTTCATATTGTCTAAATTTGAGGTCAATAAATATTCAGGGTGTAGTTTTTTAATGCAGAGGTGATTATATAATTAGGAATGTTTACATTTGGGACAATACCTAGCTGGATATTGAACTTCTTCAGAAAGATTTCAGGGAACCAGAGTTTGTTTGTACATTAATTTAATGGCTCAAAAGAAGCAAAAGATTTTAAGTGCTTTCAGGTTTGGTCAGAGAAACATTTAATCTTCACTGAGGCGATTGTGGCAATATTTGAAGTATCTAGAAGTACAGAATAACTGATTCTGAATTTGTCTGATCATTTACTAGTCCTGCATTACCCTGATATACAAGTTTGGAGAAGTAATAGCTAAAGCCCAATACTTTAGTTTAAAGTAGCCCAAAGCAACCAGAATTAATAGACAACCAATTTTGTAACATGACAATAATGTAGAATTAATACTTTTTTTTATAGCTGCTGGATTAAAAGCACGGTTGTATTTTACGTGACTTGTGTTGGCTACTTTGGAATCATGTTCCTCATGAACATTGCCATGTTTGTTGTGGTGATGATGCAAATATGTGGACGAAATGGCAAACGGACCAATAGGACTATGCGGGAAGAGATCCTGAGGAACCTTCGTAGTGTTATTAGCCTGACCTTCCTCTTAGGCATGACTTGGGGTTTTGCTTTTTTTGCCTGGGGGCCAGTATATCTTCCTTTTGTGTATCTCTTCTGTATTACCAACTCATTGCAAGGTGAGTAGGAATGTTTTGGAAAAACAATATCAATAATAACCTAACACAGATTCACAGGTATAGTATATGCATCATGTAGCACTCTTAACAGATTCAATGTGCTTAAGATTTGTAGATGTAAGCACATGCACTCACACATGTGCACACACACACACACACACACAAATGATATCAATGGTAACAACTATACAGCATAAATAGTAAAGAATCACATGACAACAATTGATGATAATAGAATTCAGAAACATCATATCACGGTCAATAGAATTTTTTTGGAACTAGAAATGTTCTCCAACTTACACTAGGAGCATGTTCTTATTGTTTCAAGAAAGTAATTCATCCAGATTTTGGAGTAAGAAATATAGAATTGGCACTTTTCTGCTTTCCAACTTGAAACTTATTCAAAATATCTAATTTAGACTTAACAATACACTCCAAAATTAAGCCTAAAATGTTCCTTATTGTTGAAATAGGAAGGGGAGGGGAGTTTAGACTGAATTGGTGGTTCTTGTTCTAAGCCATGACCCATAGAGTTGATTGAGGAAATTGTTTCTGATTTTTCTCTCTGTAGCTCATTTTTATTTGATTTTTTTTTTTTTTTGCCATCTTTTGCCATATCAAAATTTGGCCCAATTCTAATTGGCTTTCAGAATGTTATCTTGCTAGTAAACAGATCCTGAACCCTTTTACACAATTTCTTTGTATTATTCCACTAGTTTGGAGAGAATAAAAAGGGGGAAATGTATTATAAGATATTATTATATTATAAGAAGTTCATTATTTTTGTTCATTTGTTTATTATATAGGAGCAGCTAAAGGATGCAAATACTAAATTATCTCAAAAAAAATCCCAGATTTTGAAATATGTAGACAATATGTCGCTTTGTTTTAATAATATTTAAATTTAGTTATGGTTTAGATTATCAAGCTTATATCACTTCCCCTTTAGCAGACTGGAGTAAATTTTTGTAGCAGAAAAAGGCCAATTTAAAAAGGGATCTTTTTTCACACTATCAGTTCTCCATTTGTTTTTTTCAGTCATTTACCTTTCTACCCAAGATACTCCCAATTTTATTTCATGCCATTGCTTTTCCAAGGGTGTTGTCAAAAACATCTCTCATATGTAATAGGAAACTTGAATTGGTGCAGTTTTACAAAGACTGCAAAGATTTCATTAAGAAAATATTGAACTAAAAGGTATTCATCAGGACTATCCCCATACTTGATTTTTTTGGAATTGCTTGAGAACTCTTGCCAGTAAGGTCATGGAATCTGGGTTCTTATCCAAAATCCAGATGAATAATTAAAATTTGTTCTTGGAAATCCAATGAAGAGTTCCAAAACAAATTCAACATTTATGCATTTTTCAAAGAATCCACTGTTCTTAGGAAGAAGAAAGTTTCCAGTTTAGCAAACAGCCCTAATAGCAGCCTGTGTTAATTAGTTGAAGGAATTAAAAGGGAAAAAAACTTGATTTACAAGTTGAACAGGTTTTTTTTTTTCATATTAAGCAATTTACAGTAATGCATCCTAGGTACCCACTTATATAGCTGTATTCTTGTTTACGAAATTGTTCTGACCTGCTTATCAATATACCTGAATACAATTATAACTGAATAGAGATATGCAATAAAAAGGCCACATGCTAGAGAAAAATCATGCAACAGATCTTTCATTTCATGTGTACAACCTGTGTATAAGTCAGTAATATGAATAGTGTATAAACTATCCAAAATGTAATGGTTAGAATCAAATTATGTAGTCTGAATCAAATTATGAATCTGATTACTCTCCCTATTCAATTCCGGATAGCTGTATATTAATAATGTCATGTTCTAATTCTATACATTTGTTTTTCTTTACCAGTTTGTATATTCCATCTTCAGCACCAATTGGCAACACATAAAGTGAATGTTAATCTACATATACAGTGTGCTATAGAGACATGCCATAGAATCTTGAAGTACAGATGTGGATTTTTTTTAAAATAAAGAGAGAAATAGAGAAGTGTTAATAGTATTTTTAAATTAATAAAATGGAAGGAGTAGTATTTGTTAGAATAATTAATAAATACATTTGAAGTATCTTGTCATTAAAAAAAAGAAAGTACATTTTCTGTTTCATTAATATAATTAACTGGAATAAAATAAGATTATTTTAAAAATGGGATAACAATATAACAATTGCCAGCTTATGGAATGTCCATTGCAAAATTCCCTTGGAACCAACAAGTAAGGCAGAATAATGTGAACATGCTACTGTATGTCATTCATCTTCTACCTCTACCTCCAAATGGATGTAATAATAGACAAGATAATAACACATATATTTCTGGATTAGGAAAGTCTTGAGTCTTCCTGCTGTTTATATAACATGCAAATTAAACATTTTAACCCAAGCAAAATAATATTTAAAGTGATTTACCACACTCCACATCGATACATGCTTGTCCCAGATTCCAGGTCCGTCCAACTTCAGCATTCAAATTTGCCTTCTTCCTGGCACTTCTACTGTGATTGATCCCTTGCTAATGGTGCTATAAGAGCAGGGACAGATGGAATCTGAAGTGCAGCAGTATTAGGACTAAGCATAAATGGCATCAGGGAAATAACAGTAACGCTCAATAAAGCTTTGTTTTCTCCTATTTAATGTCACCATTAAAGATACAGCATCAGCATGAGTAGGGGACTAATGAGAGAAATTTGGAAGACCACTGGAGAAAGGACATGTGCCCAGGGTTTTCTTGATTGGAGGTCATTCATATATTAACCAGTTTGGCTTAAAAATGAGGTGGTCTCTCTAACTGTGCTCAGTATTGATTCCCAAAGGTCAATAGGACTGTTTGTTGCTGTTATTATTCATAGAACCATTCATTAAAGTAATATTTATTAAATTATTTTTGTATAATAAAAATTTGGAGATTGATGAACAATCTGAAACTTCATGAAGGGATTGAACAGTTTGGGGACCCTGCTCTAATGTATTAGAATATATTATATTAATATATTATATTAGAACTTCTACCTTACTCTGAATCAGTTTGGTTTGATTTACACATGAGTAATAATTAGTGAAGGTGTATATCTAAATATCATATACACTATTTCATAAACCAAAGGTATTTGTGTGTGTGTGTGTGTGTGTGTATTTTAATCTTATTTAATAAAACATTAGATTTTTATGACTATTTTCCTTTTCAGGTTTATTTATATTTATATTCCACTGTGCAATGAAAGAAAATGTACAAAAGCAATGGAGAAGGCATCTATGTTGTGGACGATTCAGGCTGGCGGATAACTCAGGTAATATGAACTACCGTTTGTAATTCTTCTCTCTTAATTGAGCCCATAAAGCTAAAATATACATTATAAGGTAATCTTTCATCCATGTGCTGACCTGCTAGGACCTGATAAGCGCAACTTTCTGAGATATTTAATAGAAACTGTCTACCAGAAAATTGAGAATGTGCCATTTCTGCAAATGATGTTATTTCAAAGAATAAGTGTTTCCTTGCAACGTTTATGTAAATGTTTGAGGAGATATTAGAAAACAAAGCCTGAAACAGAGCAATTGCTTAGATCCTTTTATCTTCGCTTTCACCGAATTAAATATATGTATTCATAAGTCTGGCAGAATTTCCATTTAGTAGATAAATGAACAAGACCCATGTACTGTATACTTGTCATTTTATTCTATGATTTGTTACTTTAATTAACATCAGTTCTACTCATTATTAAACCAAAATCTACTTCATTTTAAATGGGTTACTTACAGAAATGTCCTTGTAATTTTCTTGGCAGTTATATTAAGTTATTTGCCCTTACCAACTTTCCAGATTTCTTATTTAACTTTCTAGTTATTGTATGTATGTAATGGATTTTTAGTAGTAAGCAGAATTTAAAAGGATCTTCTGTGATAGTGTTACCAGGAAGGGTTTGCATAATTATATACTTCCATTGCTTTCCATTGTTGGAAAGCTGATTGCTCGGGTTTGAGACCCAAGCGCCACATGACGAGGTGAGCTCCCGATACTCCCCTCAGCTCCTGCAACCTAGCAGTTCGATAACATGCAAATGCAAGTAGATAAATAGATACCGCTTTGGTGGGAAAGGTGACTGTGTTCCATATTTTCATGTTGGCCACATAATGATAGAAACATTTCTCCGACAACACAGGCTTCCTAGGCTGAGAATCGGAGATATGAAACCAAGTCTGGATACACACATAACAATTCCCCAATACAAAGTTTAAAAATCCCACCCATAAAACTATGCAAGCAACTACGTTCCCCAATACATCTTCTCGGCGGGCTTTTTACGCAATGCCCAGCCTGCAGTCTTGGGGGCAGCCAGTGACCTTGGTTCCCAAGGGATAAAGAATTATTTTGACTAACGAAGCACCTGGGTAACCCCCTCCTCCCTCCGGTCTATGTGGCAACCTAGAATGAGAAGGAAAATGGCTGTAGCCATGCTTAGAGTTGAAACAACCTTTAATTGCTCTGAATCTTTTTAAAATTGTCTCTGTAGCTTAAAAAATATTGTTTATAGCCTCATCCAGTTCAAGGAGACTAGTTGCCTACAAACATTTGAACCCCTTGAGTCTACCTAATGAGAAACATTCATGTTTATGTACTGGACAGATGGATATATTTCTCTGACTTACGTTGGTGAATATATGTTTGAATAATTTCTTCTGTATGTTTGAAAGCTGGCAGAGGAAAGGGTATGAGTCAGAAGCATAAAGGATCTTGAAATAGTTTATCATAGAGGTTCTCTGTGTTCTACAGTATTGCATGGTTCAATAGGAACTAAAAGCATCATTTGCATATGTCTTTTAAAAACATCTAGTTAAAATTTAGGACTCTTCATCACAATAGTGAAATTCACCTCACCTCACCTGTGTTTCCTTTTAAATCAAAATTAATTAATTAAACTAAACTAAATTGCAGTTTCAGATGTAATCATACAGAACCTTGATTCAGAAAGTCATTATTTAGTGGTTGCATTTAGAGAATATTTGCATTTTTTAAAAAAAATTATTAAAGGTTTTTACATAGCTAAAAGCAAATAAAGGAAAAAAGAGAAAAGAACATGTGCAGAAAAAATAGAGTTAAAGGGGAAAAAAAGATAGTTAAAGAAGCTACTTCCACATTTCTTTACAGCAGTTACAAACTCATTATCTTTCCTCCCTACAGAACATTGCAATAGTCCTCCATCCCTTATTCAGTCTTTTTACAATTATCAAATCCAGAAATCACCATTTCTCTTTTTTCCCATTTTCATAAAATGTTTGCAGTCTTTAATAAAAGTACTTAATTGTTTTGACCCTGACCAAACAGGTAATTTTTGCCATTTCTGTTAGTTCTGCCATCTTCACAATCCATTCTTCCATTGTGGGTAGTTCAGTATTTCTCCATCTTTGTGCATACAGGTAATCCTCAACATATAACTATTCATTCAGAAACCGTTCAAAGTTATGACGGTGCTGAATGAAGGGTGGTTACAATTGATCCTCAGAGTTCTGACCATCCCAGGATTCCCGTGATCATGTGATGATGATCTGGGTGTTTGGCAACCACTTGCACTTATGACCAGTTGTAATACCCTGCGGTTATCTGATTACCGTGTATGACCTTTCCTGATGGCTTCCCCAAAAAGTCAGTGGAGAAACTGGCAGTGAAGGTTGCAAGTCACTGGAGTAAGTCTCCACTACCCACACATCTTCCCTAGCTCCTCCTCCCTTGCACCTTGCAGGCTATTCAGGAACCACTGCACAACCTCCCCCTCCTTGCTGCACCTGCCTGGCACACCCTTCCTGAGGCTTGTTGCATCACCCTCACAGACCCCAGTACCTCCCTGAGCCTCGCCATGCATCTCTCACCAGTTACACATCCCCTCCCTCCCTCCCCAAGCCTTGCGAAACAAGAAATACTTATATTAGTGACAGGGTGGGAATAATTTCAGATGTTAAACATGAATGATATCATTAACATGGTTTGTCACTGCACATATGAATTCCCCATATTTTCAACCCAAAGGAAATGCACTGGGGAATGATTTGCATAATAAAGGGTAATAAGTACACTGGGGGGGGGGGAAATGAAAATGATTTGCGTTTTCTTTAATTCCATTTCTTTACTTTTAAGGTCTGAATCGTTATTTCCAGCTGGTATGCAATCACAGCCCCTTTTGCTCTCATTTATTTTCAGACTGGAGTAAAACAGCAACTAATATAATAAAGAAGAGTTCAGACAATCTGGGAAAATCCTTATCTTCCAGTTCTATTGGTTCCAATTCAACATATCTGACTTCAAAATCCAAATCCACATCAAACACCTACCATAAAAGGAACAGCCATTCTGGTCAGTAGTTTTCAATATGAAAAAGTCTAACTTTAAAATGAAGTATCTACTGGAATAGCTTGCTTTACCTTAGATAAGTTATGCAACTGTGCATCCATAGGAATTAACCAGAATTTGGCTGGGATTCATCTACTTCAATGCTGTTTTTTTTTCAACAGCCCATTCAAGTGAAATATATAGGCCTCAAGCCACCCAGGCTATTGCATTATCTTTAGGATTACCAAAAGCTAAGGCTTATCTAAGTCTAAAACATAGTAAGATTTTTGGTACTTTTCAACAAGACATTGTGCACAGTAACATTTATTTTAATTTTTATTTATTTTACTCATCAAATGTCTACACCACCCATCACACTTAAGTAATTCTGGGCTGTTTACAGTTTAAAAAATTGAGCGCAATAAAAAATTTCTCTGGAAGTGTTTAAAAGTGTTTATAATTATTGGCATATAACACCTCATTGCGTTAATTGTAAGCAGTCTTTTCAGTGATCCATTAAATATGAATCACCCTAACTAACTAATTTGGTGTATTGTTGTGGATTAAAGCTTTATTCGTAGAAGTTCTGCTTTACATAGTAGATTTCCTTTAAGTATCTGTACGTGAATATTTATCCTTGGTCATGATACAGCTTATTGGTCTCTTTTTAGTATAAATGACAACAACAATATGTTTGTGTTATGTGCAAAATTTATAAAGCACAATTTAATTTTTCATTTTGTATTAACTATTAACTGCTTGAGTACATTTGTGTAAAATGCAGTTATTCGATTGATATGTTGTACTCATATTTAATCATAGTTTAGTAATTTGTATGGTGGTGGATATTTCCAAGTAATTATTGAACTATTTCACTGTTCTCCAAAATTGATTCAGCTGCTCATATGTTTATGGTATAGATAATGTCTTCTAAGAACATATCCTCACCAGTGGTCGAACATTCAAGGTAAAGTGTACATCACATTTGCTGAATGCATGATTTCCAAGCGCTTGCATAAGGACACTTGCATGAAGTTTGAATCAACAGAAAAAGATTAACTAATCATACACATTGCTTCATTCTATATTGTGCATCTTTCTCTGTCATTAATTCTGGCTGACTATAATTTGGGACACAAGAGTGCTTTTGATTACGGTTAGCATAAAAATGAAACATTCAGGATTGTTTGAGGTAAGCATCCAATGTGCTTCATAAAATGCATATTGTTAGGTGTCTCTAAAATTGGTATAGTAACTGACAGGAAGAAAATAAAAAAACACCACTAAAGTGATTCACCTAATTTATAATAATGTCTGCAAGAAATTACTGTATTCTCTGACGCTGAACTTTTTTCAGAGCATTAGAAAAAGCTTTCAGTTAGCAACTTACTTAGATTTTTAAAATATGCAGTGAACACAGACAGTATAAATGATTCAGCATTTATTTTAATGTTTAGCCAATCTAATGAAAGTAGAATGAATTCTGCTGGATTCAGCTATCATACAGTGACCAACAGAGACATCCCATAAAGCTTATAGGTAGGAAATGAGGGAATTGTCTTCTTCAAATATTGGTCCCTGACAGTTGGTTTAAGCCATACTGCCTTTGAATTCACTGTAATATATAACTATTAAGCATGCACATGTTCATACTCCAGTCATTCAGTTTTAGCCTCCAAGAAAGGGAGCAGGCATTACAAACATCCCCCTTCCTGAATGGTCCACCTTTCTCAATCTGGTTAGGAGAAGTGGTCATGGGGATGGCATCTGGAAGTGGATCAAGCTGTTTTGCATCAGCAGCCGAAGGAGTCTCCAGCTACCCGGATGGAGAAGAGGGAGCTGAGTTGAGGGAGGAGAGAGAAAAGGGAGGAGTTGGGAAAGCCTGATGAGGGAGATGGTGAGGGAGAGGTGAACTTATGAAAGGACTGGAACATCACCACATCACTGAATTGCTGCAATACATTCCTTTCTATGGTGGATATGAATGAGCAAGGCTGATTGCCTCCCTTTGGCTCCGCCCTCACCACCTGCTTGAAGAAGAAGAACTGGAAGGAAGAGTCAACACTGCAGTTCTCTATTCCTCCCACCCCATTTCACACATGGATTAGGAGGAATAAAGCTATTCCCTCTCTAAAGGAAGAGGAGAAGAAGAAATTTATTACATCACTCCAAATAACCTGGGGCCATGATAGAGATGAACATGAATTAGCAGACTATCTAAGAAATAGGACTGCAATGTAGCATGGAAGGCTAGACAGGTGGCTTGGAAGTTCCCTTAAGATGAGAGCTGGAAAGAGCCCATTGGAGGCCATTATTAGGGCTAAAAGATCAAAGGGAAGGATGTGCAACAAACCTGGCTAACTTTTGAAGGACTGATGAGGGATTTGTGAAATCCTCTGTTCTCTGCTTTTGTTGGAGACTTGAAAGTACATTCTAATGATGGGATGGGGAAGAATTAATGGGTCTTCCTTGGAAAGTGAAGCTTTCCTTGGAAAGATTGTTTGCTAATGGTGCCGAGCTACAGAATCCAGCATCCCTTACCATTAGCCAGCATGACTGAGGCTGCTGGGAATTGCAATTCATCAATATTTGTAGAACTACATGGATTATGGATTAAAGTGTGGTTATTTAAGTAAGTAACTGCTGTATTTATGAATAAAAAGATTTTATAATCCACTCCTCGGGTTAATGAGCTGTTAATGAGCTTCTAAATTTGCTTTTGCACATTTCAGCAGAAGATGCTGTTTTGCTGTCTTATTCACTCCGTTCGACCTCCAATAGACTGAAGGGGAAAACTTTTCTATATTTTTCATGCTATGGCTTATTTCATATCTCTGTTTATCTCTTTGTATTGAACTTCCTTCTAAACCCCCAAACCCTAAACACTGTAGGAAAGCTGCTTTAGCCCTTAAATCATAGATTCATATTGAATAAATACATATAATGTAACATGCAATAAATAACTGTACAACAAAACCAAAGTAAACCATTTGCTTTGCCATATAAGAATGTTTGCAAAAAAAAAAATCATTCTGGCTACATTTTAGCATGCCTATGCTTTTTTCCATGTTAAAAAAACTCTGTGCAATTTACATTTTCTTCATTTGCATTTCATAAGTAATTCTAATTTAAATCTTAATTTTAGCTATACATTATTGTCAGAAAAGATTGAGGAATCCTTTCCTCTTGTTTATACTTATGACCAATTTAAATTTTATATAGTTGCTTGTTTGGGTAAATGAATGCTAAATGGTTTAAGGAATATTAAACTTTTGCATAAATATAATATTCAATATTCAATAGTAACATACAATTGTGGAAAGAATTTAGCAGGTAAAATCCTATTCATTAGATATGTTTAAAAATAATGTGTTTAATTGCACATGAAGAGGAACATCTAATGGTCACATTTAGATTAGCAAAGCTGCTTACTGTCTTGAACCTTCTAGTCTTCTGTTAGTATCTTACTCAAAAGTTTGTCCTAGGTATGCTTGAAGTTGAAGTTACCAGGATGAACACAGCTGACTGAACTCAGTTGATATTTGAGTCAATCCTGATTATGTCATAGTATATCTCTGCCAATGTCTGAAACAATATATTTTACCTACTAAGCATTACTGAAAAGAAATTCAGTAAACTCTGTCAGTGTTGTTATAGACATTTATTGCTCCCAGGTCAAAATTATATATCTTAGTTTTAGTAGAAAAAAAATATGTTACTAAGTTCCTTCTCTTTTTAGGTAATAAGTAATACCATTTATTCTATATAATAATGAGAGATGATTCAATATTACTTTCACATATATTTAACCACACATTCTTCTTTCTGGGTTAAACTCTACATTGAAAACAACCCAGTTCACACAAAATGCATTTAAACATTATTCTTCTTTTTCAAAAATGTATTAATGAAGTGCATTTTGGTACCCTTGAAAAGAATGCATGCTGGAAACTGCTTCTCCTAATTTTGTAAATTTGTAAATTTCAGTTCTGCCAATAATCTCTAATTACAATAATGATATGGAATATTTTGTTGTGAATAGCCATGCCAGCTGATTTTGTACAGTATAATGGAAACACACAATGTGAGAAGCGTGGTGGCCTAGAGATGGAGCTCTCACCTCACAATCAGGAGGCTGTGAGTTCAATACTAGATAGCAGCAGATATTTCTGTTTCTGGGTGCAATGAGTTATTGTCTGCTGTGAACTCCGTTTAGGTGTTAGGAAGGACATCCGGTCAGTAAATGTCTTTCAAGCGTCTTTCAAGCGTCCCAACTCCACCCTGATGCAAGGGATTACAAGGTCATTAAGAGAAAAAAAAAACACAATATGATCATAGCATAACAGAGGGTGAGAGATGATGCCTGTTATAAAAAAGAATATGAAGCTGTGACTTCCATTGTCAATTCTGTACGTTCTTTACAGTTTGAAGAAATGTCACCTTTAGATGCAGCAGAATCACTCTGAAAGAGAGATGAATAATAAATAAATAAAAACCTGTATCTATAGATTCTGCATCTCCAGGGGTTGGCACATGGGCTTGACATTCATTTCAATGTAGATAACACTGTCTATGTGCATAAACAAAATGGAATATGAATGTAAATTGATAGTGAGGAACACACTCAAAATCTTGTTTCAGGACATAATAAGCTGAATCTAAAAATGATGAAACCTGTAGCCATTTTATGATTTCCTCATTTCAGCAATTCAGTAGTAAAAAATGAACTTCTTTCCCCTTTCTGGCATCACTCTTAATGAGATGTATTTTCTCTTGTCCTTATTCTGAATTGGTTCGTACATTCAAAGCTGATTGTTTGTGTGAAATTATCTTGAATCCTGTTCTATAGAGCACCATCATGATCATGTTCCCATTACAAAAACAGACTAATGCTTATACCCAAAAGCATTTAATTGTGAGTCAGATTACTGCAGTTTGATATCACGGCTTCAATAATGCCGATGACATTATTTCAGTAACCATGTAGGTCAGCTTAGAAATGCTAAATTTCAGATCACGAAGGCTAAAGCAGCAAAATTTGATTTGTACTTCTAGATAAATCAGGAGCACAAAAGTGTGGTGTGCATACAGTCCAGCCTTACTAATTTACAGTTCTGAGAGGATCAGTGGGGCTGAATTTTTCAGGCAGATTATACAGATGAAATTTGTATCTTAAGACTTTAAGACACTCATTGCACCTTTTAGACATTCTCTCACGCACACACATTTTACTCCTTAAAACTTCTCAAAATGACTTAATTTTATAAGAAAATATTAAAAGAAAAACTTTAATGTGCAATGTAAAGTCTATTGTAACTATCAGACTGACAGCTTACATATTCATGGTATGGATTATAGAAAGAAAATCAGACTTTGGAACAAAAATAAAAGGTTATTATATACTGTATAAGGGGTTGTCTGAGGTCATCCTCTTGGCAGTAAACTTTGTTTTCAAAATTACTGACCTGTTTTGTTTTGTCTTGTTTTTAATCAGACAATGTTTTTCTTGACAAGCCTTCAACAAAATACATCCAAGTGGACATGGAACAGACGTCAATCATCCCAGTTCACCAAGTCATTGACAAAGTGAAAGGTTACTACAATACTCAGTCAGACAATTTCTATAGAAACATGATCATGTCAGACTCCCTGAGCCACAGTACAAAATTCTGAGTATCTGGATATCTGGAAGAAGAGAAATCAACAAACAGAATGAAGATTATTAAGATTATTAAGTGTTGAACTTGGTGACTGGCTGAAGATACAGACTCTGCTAAAGTGTTGTGCTTTATCCAGTTATATAAGTTGTTCAGCTACCTGTATCTTACTTGGAGAAACAGAACATCTAATTAATTCTCTCCACTGACACAGTATTGATGCTGGTGTTCTCTCATCAACAGTTCTCAAGCATCTATCAGTGACATGTTTATTAATCCCATCTATAATCTTGCAAAATTAAGAATCTTGAAAAGCCCAAAACTAAAGCTTGTAGCTTCCAAATATATTTTCAAATCATGCTATTAAGATGTTACATCAACCCAAGTGTTCTTCTCTGTGTGTGTCTGTGTGTATATGTAGCCTTACACAGGGAGAGCTATCCAATTGTGCTTGTTCACAGGTATAATGGATCCCCTTGTTTCATATGACCAAATCTACTCTGTAAAGAGGGATGATAGCCTATTCTGCTTGTGGCATAAGCAGAAGTCTGCTTCTGCAATGCTGGAGAAGTCATGGGAGATTTTATAGATTTTTTTTTTCCTACGAACAAGGCAAGGGAAAGCTATTTTTAGTGAATTTATATTTTTTTGTGCCTGATTACAGAAACCAAAAGTGTTTCAAAGATTATTGTACGCTTGATCTTAACTCTTACTTGCAAACTCTGGGCCATATTTATTATTTTGTTATTTTTTAATGGCAGAAGTATTAAAGCAGGGGCCTTCAAACTTGGCCCTTTTATGACTTGTGGACTTCAACTCCCAAAGTTCCTCAGCCAGCATGCCTGGGTGAGGAATTCTGGGAGTTAAAGTCCACAAGCCATAAAAGGGCCAACTTTGAAGACCCCTGTATTAAAGTGTGCTTCTTTGATATTGGAAGAGCTTAACAAAGTGTTTTGTGTTAACTTGAAAGTTTGCCTAGTTATAGACCAAAAGAAAGTGAGCAGTTGAATATATCACGATTGCTATGCATCTTTATCATGATCAAAGAATAGAAATTCTGAATCAACCCAATATTATAAATAAACTTCCATCAGTTTTTCCTAATTTGCTTTATTTTCACATCCTTAGATAGATAGAATTGCAGCCTGGAACATGGAAGTTTTCCATTGATTTATGCCTTAAGAGCAGTGTTTATTAACCTGTACAAATCAAGATGCTATCAATTCTTACACCTTTTCCCCAGATAGTTCTTTTCCAAGATGTGTATTGAAATATACCTAAGAAGAAATCTTTATAATTTCAGATACACACAGCTGCTGAAACAATTAAGATACTCATGTAAGCATAATGGTAATGCCATCTATGCATCCCTTCATACAATATTTTGAATTACAGATTATAGTAATTATATACTCTGTAGCACCTCTATTTAGATTTACTAAAGTCAGTATGCCTCATCTTTAAAGGAAAGGGTGTTATATTCATTGTTTACAAATATAAATTCTCTTTGAATGAAATTAATCAAAAATTATATGCTAATTATAAAACTATTTTTTCACTTGCTCAATTCTTTAATAACTTTCTGTGTGTGCTACTTTATTTAATCGCCCAGTAATATATAGCAGAATCTCCAGTATGTCTTCTTAGAAGTAATTCCAACTGAATACCTGGAGGCTTACTTTAAGGAAAATTAGTACAGAATTACAGCTGCAAATTTGACCACTGACAAGTCATAGGATTCTCTCCCTATTTCTATTAAAATACTTTCTGCATGTTTATTTTCAAAATACATTTCAACTTTATCTGTATTATAGCTGTTGAACAACTACAATTTATTAATTTGCACCATCAGAATTGTCAAACTAAGTTGCTCTATTACTAAAGTTGCTTGAGTTCAAACTATTTAATTTGTTTTATAATCCCTAAAAGGAATTATTTATCACAGGTTAAGAATTTAACTTAATATGAGTGAATGATTCCTTATGACATCAAATTATATCAGAGTCTGATGGGATCAAACAGCTTTACTAAGAATGTTTTGCTCATATGTGCTTTCTAAAAACTTAGTAAGTTTATGTTTCTTAATAGATTTCAGAAAATAGCTTATGTAACATTTATTTTGGATAAAAATATTCAAAATGAGAAGGGAAAATGTATGTCTGTATATGGTAATTGGAAGTAAATAATATTAAAATGGTAAATAGGGCTTTAATTAGGAAAATTGTAATAGTTTTGTTTTCCCTTAAGATGTTTTTTTCTGACCAGATTAATGTGAAATATGCCTATATTTTTGCCAAATAAGAATATTCTTTGCATTTACTACCATGTAGTAATCCTTAAAAAATTATTTCAGATAGTTTTTCCAGTGCTCTTCTTTTATCATATCATCTTTCTGTATAAATATTTGATTTTCTTATCAGCAAAATTTAACTTCCTTTGTATATATTTATTTATTTCTGAGGTTCAAAATATGCAAGCATATTTTAGCTGCACACTAGCAGTATTTGTAATTATATGCAAACCTTAAGTGATAGGGAGATGTGTGTGTGTGTGTGTGTGTGTGTGTGTGAATATTGCATGTTGGATTTGCTATGTGTATAGTTTATTGGGTAAACTTTTGTTTATGACGGAAATGCCGATATAATTTCAAACATTAGTTTTTAGGGACTAGTGATACAATTTATAGAAACATTGTAACATCAATAGTCTAAGTCATTAAAAAAATGTAAATTGTAAGTGACTCTTGATTCTTTGCAACTGATCAATGAAATTCTTTGGTGGAATGCCAGAGAATGACCTATTCCTTCCAAGTAACCTTTCTTCACCAGAATTTGGAGATGGAAGAATTAAAGCAGACACTGAAGGACAGGAACTCTAAACCAGAGGTCCCCAACCTTTTGGGCACCAGGGACCGGTTCCGTGGAGAGAGGTTTTTTCGCGGACTGGAGGGGGCGTGGTTTTATGTACAGCTTGCATCCTGCAGATGGGGCTTCACTTATTTGCAGACTAGTTTTTGGCATGCTGCAGACCGGTGCTGGGCCACGGACCAGGGGTTGGGGACCCCTGCTCTAAATTCTGCCAATGACCTTCTTAGGGTCACAGGAGAATCTGATTGAAAAGAGTAGGGATGACATAAGGAGGAGAGCGTCTTTATGTATTGTTAGGGATTTCAAGATGAGAAGAAAAGCAAACAATCTGATCATTATTTTCTAACCCTCCAAAATAATGCAAAATTATAATTTTAAGCAAATATCTCACCCTTTTCAGGTAGCTTCAGTTACGCTAAAATTGTAACATTAAAATCCAAAAGTGTGCTCACTTTTAATTTATTCAGCCACATGCATTTCTTACTCATCCATAAATATATAAACATACGTTGCACATTATTATTCACTGTTCTCAGTTTTGAACCATTTATTCACATGGAAGTTTTCAGCATCTGTCATTGTTTCTGAATTTAGTAACCAACCTTCAACTCCATACTTGCACAAAGCATTCCAAGATTCAAATCTCTTCACTTTATTCAATAAACATAAACCTTTCTCACAATCATATATCTCTCAATGACCTGGTTTACATACCAGCCCATGTTAAAGTCGTATTGCATTTGCAACATTTTACTCATAACTGCTTCTTGTACCTTTCCAGTCCAAATTTTGGAACTTTGCCAGAGTTCTTCAAACTATCTGCTAAGGATGCAGCCTTCACACTTCACACACTGTGGGGGAATTTGCAGCAAACTGCCATGCATTCCCCCCCACAATCCTCATAACCTTTTGATACCCTTTGTCCCAAGGAAGCAGCCAAAAGATCACCCCCTTTTGACTTAATATCTTACCTACCTAAATAAATAATATGCTTTAAGTTCCCCCTTATCTCTTCCTGTCTTTATTTCTTCTTGTCTTTATCAGTTCTTTCTCCTTTTCTAATTTACCTGTATTTGTTTTTACCTGCTCTCAACAGGTAATATGTTACTAGAAAATAATTGCTTATATGAAGGAATTTTTCAATTACTTTATGTCAACAGCTAAAGATTAAACTTTTAAATGTAAAATGTCAGCAGTTAATGGTAAAGCCTATGTATGTAAAAAGTATATAAGAAACAATAAACTCAGAGTTTGTCAAGCTGTGTGAAGCTGTGTTCTGCAGCTTCAAACCTCTGCTCAAGACATGCCTGTCTTTTTCTTAGCATCGTTACAACACACGAAGTAGCATTGCTGCTTCTTAACCAAATCTTATTTGTATTTAATTTTTTCCCCTGTTATACCAGCTACTTCTGCAGCTTTGCTATTTCTCAAGAGTCATACATTTATTAAATCTTTCTCAGCATTTTTTCCTTGAACATTAACATTTATAGTGTTTCTTACTATCCCGCTCTTTCAAATCTCTAAAATGTTCTTTCCGGCTTACCATCATTTCAGTTTCATTCCAAATCATTTTAATTCCATTTTAATTCCATTCGCTTGCTGGAGGCTTCTTGTTATCCTCTTCACAGAAGTATCTTTCACACTGTACATTATATATTTTCATTCTTCGCAGCATTTTCTTGTATCAATTTTTCTTCAGTTCATTCTATCAAGTACCTTTTTTATGCTTACCATTAGCATAGCTACACACTTGTATGGCACTCTGTAACTTCATTCTTTTCACTTTGTTCTAAGCTCCTTCAACATCTTTCTTCACATTCAGTAAGGCTGAGTCTGATGTACAATATGTTTTCATACTAGTCTTGTGCATTCTCTTCCTGCAGTCATTCCATTTTCACTCAGTCATCTTTCATATCTTTCCACCTTATCTTCCATTTTATTTTTCTCCCAAAATCCTTTAAGTAACAAAAATGGTTTATCTGATATTCAGAGTCTCTAATCACCCTTCCCTAATCTTCTCAGTCTTTCTGAAATAAATAGCCATAGCACTTAGACCAGGAGTGTCAAACTGCTGGCCCATGGGCCAGTTGCATCATACAGAGGCCGTGCCCACCCTAGCTCCGGCAATGCAAAAAAAAAGTCACAATATGTCGCAACAAGTTTGACATCGGTGACTTAGACTTACATACCTCTTCACAGGGCTTTACAGCCCTCTCTAAGCAGTTTATAGAGTCAGCATATTGTTCCCAACAATCTGAGTCCTCAATTTACCAACCTCAGAAGGATGAAAGGCTGAGTCAACCTTGAGCCAGTGAGAATCGAACTGCTGGCAGTGGGCAGAATTAGCCTGCAATACTGCATTCTAACCACTGCACCACCACAGCTCTAATGTTTTGGGATAATTATGAAAGGAAGAAAGCTGAATGTCACCCATGCTGAGAAATCCAACTCCAAATATTCTGGTGACCTTGTCCAGACGCTTCATATAGATATTAAAGCAACAAGAGTGACAGATTGGTTCCCTGTGGAACTTCACAGCCTAGCATCCATGAGGCCAAGCAGAAATCTCTCAAAGCTGTATTCTTGCTGCCAAACTAGATAGGAAACTTGACTGGAATGTGTGCGGATAGTCCATCTCCTCCAAGTATATATGAAAGAGATATAACTCTGAGTAAGTATGCATCTAGCAAAGGCCACAGCTTTAAAGTTAGCTGATAAATGTTAGCAGATGCATATATTGATAAATACTAAGTTCTAGAAGCAAATCATAAGACATAGCTATAATTTTAATTCTGCATCTGTAATCTTACTAACTACACATGCTTATACTGTATACTGTTGGAGATAATGGAACAGGTGAACTTTGAGGCTACCCTAAGCTATTTTGAATAAATATCAACTTCTCAATTTTTCTGTAACACAGAATCTATTGTTCTTGTTCTTTGAGATCATGTTCTGCCTCCAAAGCTCTTAGGTATTGTTTGTTTTGGAATGAAATTAAACGTTGGATGTGGGCAGTACATAAAAGAAGCTTGCTGTGCTTTATACATATTTACAGATCCATTTGTTTTTCTGCCCAATTTGTTGAGAATGATGGTGTGATGATCTTACTCACTTAGCATTCCTGCATTGCAGTAGTTCCCTGTATGTTTACCTCAAAATAAAAATAGAAATTATGCAGAAAACTGGTAGTCTGCATTAGCTAGAATGAGCCAGCAGAGTGCAATATGGCCCCACTATCGGTTATGTACTGGAAACTTTCAAAAATGTTTAATTTCTGTATGCAGTTGCAAATGGAATTGTGTTAAGCAGGAAAATCTACATACAGACTAAAGTCCCAACTCGTATCCTGAAGGCATAGCACAACATAAAGCAAATTTTAATTCTGCATACTTATGGGACATTCAACAGTAATGGATATTGTGAACACAAGAAGAGATAGAAAAGCCTATTCATAGTGCCTTCCTTAGAGAGGGCCCTTCATCACTAAATGATAGATAAGCCTATTAGCAAACAGAACAATGACTCAGCTCTCAAGTTACGTTCCATTTTCATGTCACAGGGCATGTTTTCTTTGATTAATTTTAAAATTTGTAGGAATATTCATATCCCATTATTCAATATTTGTTCATTTTTTAGATGACTATTGAAACAAATACTTGAGGGACAGAAAATAGGTACAGAAGTGTACACTAACAGTTTTTGTTTCAAAAGAGAGAGAACTTGATTCCCATCCCCATTCTTAAGTGGAGAGAAAAGTTTGTATTTTCGGTTGTTAGGATCCTTCTGAATTTTGTCCATTCCTCTAAAAATATAATTTTTTTAACTTCAGAATATATCTATGTGTCTGTATATAATCTACCAAGAGTGGATTACAAAACACTACAATATATTAAGAGAACCGTGAACTTTGGTGTTGAAGACTCTTGAGAATATCATGGATAGCCAAGAAAACAAACTTATCAAACAAAGCAACCCAGAGTTTTCACTTGAGAGACAAATGACCAGATTCAAATTATCATACTTTGGAAACATGATTTATTTCCAAAGACCCAACTCTCTGGAGAAATCTATAACTCTGAGAAAGGCGGAAAGAAAGAGAAGACGACAACCAGAAGAATTGCAACTATATTTGTAGTGGATGCAAAATCAGAAGACTTAAAGGATTAGCTTGGAGACAGGTCCCAGATAAAAATCTCTATGGTTACTAAAGAATCAATATGATTTGAATGGCATATCACATTGGTTACTTGAGATGCTGCCTTTTGTTCATAGTATCTGATCTTGCATAGTATCTTGATGTGCTCTGTGCTCCTTTGATTAAACAAGGCTATATATCAAGGCCTCACAAAATTGCCTTCTCTGTAACCATGCTTGTCCTCCAGAAAGGAGGGATAGTTTGAGATTTGGATAGCTTCCAGTCTACTGTTTTCAGAAGATTCATGAAGTTAGGCTCTTCTCTCAGGTGTTTGGCATGGGAGGGTGAAGTTTCTTGTTTCATTCCATTTGGTCTCTCATACTTGCCATCTTTTATCTTTATCTTTCAAGTTTATTGGTTTTGTTGATCTTTCTTTGGTTGTTTTGAGACCCTAGAGTCACTGGGAATTGGGTGGCATTTATTACTTTAACAAATTATTATGATATAACCTATCACAGATCATGCCATTCATTGACTACTCCATATAGAGTCCTTTTACTTTAATGACATTACATTTTCTTCCTAAGTTTTACCCTAGAGCTCTGGAGAACCACAAAAGACAACTGGAAAAGGCTTCTAATATGTTCTCACAGAGATACACACACACACACACACACACACACACACACACACACACACACACACACTATAAAATACTAAAGACAGCTTAC